ATCACTAGTTTTTTCTAAATATATTTAACTTTATATAACTTTAACTGTCCCAATGGACCAAAAAATTAAAAACGGCGTCTTAATTGATGCAAAAGAAGTTTAAGGAAGGAGGCTTTTTATGGAGCAAAATTATAGTACAATCTATAAAATATATTATTAGTTAAAACTAGAGCTACCATGCGAAACTTATTGCTAAAAATACCTTTCATATAGGGTTGATTGTTCTAACAGACAATCTATAAAAGCCATATTAACAGCTAGAGCGAGCGCGCCCGACCGACGTTTCGAAATTCGTGCGCGCGAATTTCTAAACGTCGGCCGGGCGAGCCCTTTTTACACATAAACCATAAGAACACGGAACGCTCGTCCTACCCACCTCCTAACCATTACAGAAGAGAGCGAGCAAATCGAGCGCGCCTGGTAGACGTTTCGAAATTCGCGCGAATTTTGAAACGTCGATTGGGCGTGCCATTTTACACCTACACCATAAGAACAAAGTACCTTCATCCCATCTACCTCCTAACCTCTACAGAAGAGAGCGAGCGAAGCGAGCGCGCCCGGCCGACGTTTCGAAATTCGCGCGAATTTCGAAACGTCGGCCGGGCGCGCTTTTTTTACACCTACATCATAATAGCAAGGTACGTTCGTTCCATCTATCTCCTAAGCTCTACAGAAGAGAGCGAGCGAAGCGAGCGCGCCCGGCCGACGTTTCGAAATTCGCGCGAATTTCGAAACGTCGGCCGGGCGCGTTTTTTTTACACCTACATCATAATAGCAAGGTACGTTTGGCCCTTATACCTCCTAACCTCTACAGAAGAGAGCGAGCGAAGCGAGCGCGCCCGGCCGACTTTTATAAATTCGCGCGAATTTCGAAACGTCGGCCGGGCGCGCTTTTTTTACATCTACATCATAATAGCAAGGTACGTTCGTCCCATCCATCTCCTAACCTCTACAGAAGAGAGCGAGCGAAGCTAGCGCGCCCGACCGACGTTTCGAAATTCGCGCGAATTTTTACACCTACATCATAATAGCAAGGCACGTTCGTCCCATCCATCTCCTAACCTCTATAGAAGAGAGCGAGCGAAGAGAGCGAGCGAAGCGAGCGCGCCCGGCCGACGTTTCGAAATTCGCGCGAATTTCGAAACGTCGGCCGGGCGCGCTTTTTTTACACCTACATCATAATATCAAGGTACGTTCGTCTCATCCATATCCTAACCTCTAAAGAAGAGAGCGGGCGAAGCTAGCGCGACCGGCCGACGTTTCAAAATTCGCGCGAATTTCGAAATGTTGGCCGGGCGCGCTTTTTTTACACCTACATCATAATATCAAGGTACGTTCGTCCCATCCATCTCCTAACCTTTACAGAAGAGAGCGAGCGAAGCGAGCGCGCCTGGCCGACGTTTCGAAATTCGCGCGAATTTCTACACCTACATCATAATAGCAAGGTACGTTCGTCCCATCCATCTCCTAACCTCTACAGAAGAGAGCGAGCGCGCCCGGCCGACGTTTCGAAATTCGCGCGAATTTCGAAATGTCGGCCAAGCGCGCCTTTATTACATCTACACCATAAGAGCAAGGTACGTTCGTCCCATCAACCTCCTTACCTCTATAGAAGAGAGCGAGCGAAGCGCAACGTCAGCAGGGAGCGCTCGCTTACTTCTGTAGTGATTAGGAGGTGGGTGAGAAGAGCGAAGTGTTTAATTATCTCTCTCTGGTTCAAAATGATTTTTTTAATATTTGAAATATTTTTATTTTAAAAATAAAGAAAAAAATGTTGAACGCCGTAAAAAGTATCCACCGAGTAACGTCACGGTTCACATAGCAGAAATTGAAATAATTCAGTTATCCTCTTTATTTTTATTTTAAAAATAAAGAAAAAAATGTTGAACGCCGTAAAAAGTATCTATCCACCGAGTAACGTCACGGTTCACATAGCAGAAATTGAAATAATTCAGCTGTCCTCTTTAGTTGATAGAGTATTCTTTAAATTTGGCTTTAAATTTTTTTCAATCAAATAAATTCCCTTGTTTCAAAAAGTTTAAAAACTTTTGGATAACACAAAGTAATTATGTTTAAAAGTTTTCGAAAAGTACATTGTTTATTACTTTATAGATGATGTAATTAATATTTAATTATCGTTTACTACAACAATTCAATCAAAATAAATAAATAAATCGTCGGATATGACTGGAAATAAATTAATAAAAGTTAATAAAAGTGTTTGGAAATGTTATGTTAAGAATAAGGTAGTTTTTATATTTATTTTTCGTTGATTTTAATTGGCCACTTAGTACTTAGTAACACTGCGATTTGTAATGACAGATATAATTCATATGAACAAGTTAACATAAATAATCCTTTTAAGTAATTAATATGTAAATTAAAAAAATTAATTCATTTATGGGGTTACCGGTGGTATATTTAAAAAGTACTCTCCTTCCTAAAGCCAAAAATTTAATTTTTGTAAAAACAAATTGAACTTTTAGGAAATACCGTTTTCCCAATAGGTATTTACCCAGAATTGATATGTGTATAATGTTTCAAAGTGTTTCAACTTTTAGTAAAATTGTAAAATTTCAATAGTAATATCCGCCGTTCGGATGTCGGCGTATATAAGCAAGGCTTAGGTATTGATAATTTTATTGAAATTCCAACTTATATTTAATTTTGAATATATCCAAAACATAGTCCTTTTATTTAAGAAATAATACACAACTTGGCAACCATGTGCTTCTTATATTGCATCCTTCAATGTCAAATGACAACCAAAATAAATTTATTGAATTAATAAAATAGCCTAAAATATCATTATTAAAATTTAAAAAAAATAGGATTTCTTTAGGTTTCCGCCAACAAATTTCGATAAGTATATGTTATTCTTGGTGTCTAAAAGTGTAAAAATACATTTTTGTGAAAATATAAAAGTTTTGTGTATTAAAGTACAAATTTAAAGGCAAGTTACCCGCGAGAAAAAGAATGGGCCCTAAAAGTATTTTTCCTCCAGAGCAAGAGAGTATTTTAGCAGAATGGGTAATATCCATGGCAAAGGCTGGTTTTACCTTGACAAAAGATACATTTATGATTACTGTTTCCAAACTTGCCCACGAGTTAGGTCTAGAAAAAAACTCCTGGACGAAAATGGTATCAGTTGTTTCGAGGTAGAAATAATAGAATTAGCGACAGGATCTACCAGACTTTAACTCGTTGTAGAAGTAATATTACTAAGGAAGATCTAACTCGATGGTTCAAAGAAGTATGGTCTTACATTCAAGAAAAAGTTCTTGAAGATATCATGTATCAAGAGTGTTCAACGCAGATGAGTCTGCATTTTATTTGAATCCTAAAGGTGGAAAAGTGTTGGCAGAAAAAGGTAGTAAGTCAGTATATTTATCTGGAGCCAATGATGAAAAAGAGAATATCACAGTCTTATTGACTGCTAATGCTGCTGGTCAGATAGCACCTCCAATGATAGTGTATGCAGCAAGAACACCATTCTCCTGATAAAACTGAACCTGGACCGTCTGGAATTCCGACAATAAGGACACCAGCAAAAGAAAATAGTGAGGTGTGCACAAGCTCTACATTTAACATAGATCCGACTGTTCCATCCCCATTCAATCGAGTGCTCTTTTGGCCAGATAAAAGACCTTCTCAAATTAAAAAAAATAAAACTGAAAAAATTCCTGCAGTATTAACGTCACCCCAAGCGTTACAATACTATCAGAAAAAAGAAAAACAAAAACAAGAAAAAGCAGAAGAGCAAGCTAGAAGAAAGGAGGAAAGACAGAAAAAAAGAATAGAACAGCAAGAACAAAAAAAAGCTGCCCAAGACCAAAAAAACATCAAGAGAAAGGGCACTACTAAAAAAAATAAAAAGAAGGTTGAAGATGATTCAACAACATCAGAATCATCTCTATCGTTATCTCTGTCTCTATCGGATGAAGATTTTGAAGATCCCGATGAAGATGAAGTAATCACCAGCCACATAACATTGGAACAGTTGATACAGGGTGACTTTATCCTATGTGAATTTATTGGAGGAAAAAGAAATCGAACAAAATTTGTGTATCTTTGTGTGGTGCAGAAAAAGGAAGAGGCTTATATTCAAGTAATGGGATTAAAATCCAGTGACAAAGCAAAAAAGGAGTTTGTGCCAAATGAAACGGATATTTCCTCTGTAAGCATTGACCAGGTGATCGGTAGAGTTCCCCAACCGCAAATTCTGACACGAGGAGAAAGACTTAGTTATGTTTATAAACACCACATTCCAGTGAAAGAACTCTAGTTTTTCTGCATGCTATATGCTGTTAATATTAGTAGATTATTAATAAGCTTCTGGGAATATTTCCATCATTTCATATTCACTTAGTAGTGTCATCTATTGGCTTAAAGTCTGTCACCTATTGGCATATTCTTGATTAGGGGTGTCATGTATAGGTACAAATGATAATATTAATAATAAAAAATAATATTAATTTTTATGTTGTATATTTTAATAGTTATCTGATAATCTGCCAAAGATTATTAAAATGAAATTTTAACTTATGTTCTCATTTATTTATTTTTACATTCTTTATTTTTGTATTTTTATTTCTTAAGAGTGTCATCTATTGGTATACTTACCTTAACATTTTTTATTAATATTGTAGCGGTTTGGCTCTACGGACGAGACAGTGCCAGGGTTTGCCACAACAGTACGAGACAACGAACCGTCAAGGTGGCAGGAAACCCAACCTACAATCGGGCAGGCTGACAGAAACTGGGAGAAAGTGTGAAGAATGATCGAGAACGGTCATGGAAGCGGTTACCATAGGTTGTTGATGATATGACACTGTCAAATGGGGAGTGGAAGATAGAAAGCCGGTCAGCGCGTGGCGGATCAACGTTTCAATTGTAATTAGTAATAATTGTAAATAGTTTTCGCGTTCGGATAGTTATTTTGTATTTTAATTAAATAAATAGTTTCAACCCACACTCGTGTTACAATATCTATGACTTACCAAGTAAAACGTAACAAATAACAGTGACGGCCAGTGCAGTTCTATCTAGAAACACCATACAGCTTGCGAAAATTCCTCTTAGATATGACGCACTCGTGATATCTTCAATTTCATTTTCCCTTGCTAATTGAACAATTTTTTCGAATGGCTTCTCCCAAGCGTACATTTTAATGACTTGTATTCCAGAAATTATTTCGTTCATTAGTTTCACTCTTGAATCTGACTTTTTTGATATGCTTGAACGAAATTTACCGATATATTTTCCAAGACAAACTGAAAAATATTCATAATTAAAAAAGTAGGTACGCTAATACAACCAGATTGGGCTCTATGATAAATCTTACCTTGTAAGGGTACACTAAAACTGATTACGGTTACGATACCGGCTACCGCGGATATACCAACTTCGGTCCAGATAAACCAAGATAATAGACTTATTTGAAACGGTAGCACCCATATAGTGTGCAGTGGAATTGTAACCAAATCAAAGCGATTGACATCATTTGCTAACAAATTCACAATTTGACCAGCAGTTGTTTGTCCCAGTGACTTTTGGTTTAGTTTGATAATCTAAAAAAATTAAAAATGTAATTTTGTTACCAGACGAAGCAAATTTTTACCTTTCTATATACTAGGGAAGAAGCTGCAATCCTTATTCTCATTCCAATAATTGCTAGCCCAAAGCTTGTATGATGGGTTATAAACATACCGCAACCTGTTACACCAACCAATAAAATGCCGTAGATATTCTTATCAAGTTGTTTGTCTGTACCGTTATAAGTTTCTGAGAAACAGGAAATCAGTTTTGCTAAAATTACTGGTTGGGAACACCTGAAAATGCAGAAAATAATTGTTTCAATAGCCGCTACACAAAATCACATAAATATTTCGTATTGTTTTTTAATCGTCAAAGTAGACAATTGCGTACACATTCGTAAATACTACGAAAATGTCATTTCACGCTGTTCAGTGCATTGAAACAATAATTTGTGGTCATACCTGGAAGAAACAAAATTGTATTTTACGTTAAAAGTCCGGTAGGTGACTTATTACAGTACGAGTTGTTTTACGGACGAGGCGACGCAGGAGCCGAGTCCGGAATATAAACGAGTACTGTAATAACACCTAACGGACGTGAATCGTTTGATATTTTATTTCATCCTGTCTTTATAATACTCTATAAAAAAATTAATATGTTGGTTAAAACTAAAAAAGAAAATAGTTGGCAATTTCACATCATTACTTTGCAATTGCAATTGAGCAATTGTTTCCATAGTTACCTATAACAAATAGACAAGATCGCAATATTTGTGTTTCAAATTATGGAGGTTATGGATGATATTTTAAATAATGCTGCAGAAGCAACAAATAAATTAATCCCATCAAAATCTTCACCAAGATATATCAAAGAATATAAATTGTTTTGTGAATGGAAACAATTTCATAAAGTGACTACCATACAGGAAGATGTTCTTTTGGCTTATTTTCTAGATGAAGTAAGTATGATCTGCATTATTTTTTTAAAATATATATTAATTATACATATTTTACATATTTTACATAATTAATATGTATTAATTTTATTTTATTTTATAGTCAAAGAGAATAAATAGCAATTCCTTGTTGGCAAAATATTCTATGCTAAAGGCAATGTTACTATTAAAGAGAACGTGAACATCAGCAAGTACCCGAAAATCATCGCTTTCTTAAAAAAATGTAGTGTTGGACATCAACCGATGCAGTCAAAGGTATTGACGAGACTTGAAGTAAATTTATTTCTCAATAAAGCATCTGATGAAGTATATTTGTTGGTCAAAGTTATTGCTATGATTGGAATTGCTGGAGGTTGTCGGCGGGAAGAATTGTATTCTATGACTCTCAATGACATTCAAGACACAGAAACTCAATTGGTAATCACGATTTCGCAAATTAAAACTAATGTAAAACGTGTTTTTACTGTAATAAATTTTCTGGAAATATACCGGAAATATCTTGCCCTAAGACCTAAAAATTTTGAAGAAAACTTTTTATTTCTTGTGTATCGAAATGGTAAATGCATCCAACAAAGAGTAGGAATTCATACTATAGGTGCAATGCCCAGAAAAATAGCAGAATATTTGAAACTTCCAAATCCTGAAAAGTTTACAGGTCACTGTTTCAGACGGACCTCTGCAACTCTTCTTGCAAATGCAGGTGTAGACTCATCTATCTTAAAACGGCATGGGGGTTGGAAAAGTTCTGCTATAGCAGAAAAATATGTTGAAGATGCACTTGAAGGAAAAACGAAAATTGCAAGAATGATTCAAGGTGGTGAGAATTTTGTACAAGTATTGCAACAAAATAAGAATACAGAAATAAATACTATTGTTTCTGATAAGAATGTTCCATCCACATCAGGAATCAATATTGTTAATAATACAAATTGTACTATAACGGTGAATTTTAACAAATAAATTGAACTTTGTCACATAAATAAAAAATTAGTGTAAAGATTTTGTTAATTACTTATTTTTAATAATTTATTACTTACTTACTTCTGAATGTTTTCATATTGTAGGTACTTAATTAAAATGGTATTGTGTTTAGTGTTTAGTAATAGATATAATTGCTGACTTGTTAATAAAATAATATAATAAATACTAATTTTGGTTAAGAAAAATATTGAAAAAATTGTTTTTGTTTAATAAAGTTAGTAGAAAGACATTTTTCAACAAGAACTATCTAAATAGTTTCAATATGCATCAACAGATATGGTCCAAACTGAATAAAAATTACTAATTTTAGTTAAGCAAATTATTTAAAAAAATGTAATTAAAAGCCTCTTTTATAGTTATAAAGCATTCTTTATTAACTAAAGTTAGTAGAAAAACATTTAGAATAAGAACTACCTAAATAGTATTAATAGGTATCAACAGATATGAGTCCAAACAAAATAAAAATTACTAATTTTAGTTAAGCAAATTATTTAAAAAAATGTAATTAAAAGCCTCTTTTATAGTTATAAAGCATTCTTTATTAACTAAAGTTAGTAGAAAAACATTTAGAACAAGAACTACCTAAATAGTATTAATAGGTATCAACAGATATGAGTCCAAACAAAATAAAAATTACTAATTTTAGTTAAGCAAAATATTTTTAAAAATGTAATTAAAAGCATCTTTTATAGTTACAAAATATTCTTCGTTTTCTAAAGTTAGTAGATAAACATATTTTTCAACAAGAACTACCTAAATAGTATTAATAGGAATCAACAGATATGAGTCCAAACAAAACAAAAATTACTAATTTTAGTTAAGCAAAATATTTAAAAAAGTGTAATTAAAAGCCTCTTTTATAGTTATAAAGCATTCTTTATTAACTAAAGTTAGTAGAAAAACATTTAGAACAAGAACTACCTAAATAGTATTAATAGGTATCAACAGATATGAGTCCAAACAAAATAAAAATTACTAATTTTAGTTAAGCAAATTATTTAAAAAAATGTAATTAAAAGCCTCTTTTATAGTTATAAAGCATTCTTTATTAACTAAAGTTAGTAGAAAAACATTTAGAACAAGAACTACCTAAATAGTATTAATAGGTATCAACAGATATGAGTCCAAACAAAATAAAAATTACTAATTTTAGTTAAGCAAAATATTTTTAAAAATGTAATTAAAAGCATCTTTTATAGTTACAAAATATTCTTCATTTACTAAAGTTGGTTGAAGAGTATAATTTATTGCAAGAAATGCTACCTATAATATGTGGACAATTTTCTAATAAAATACCTTATCCGAACGCGGTCGCATTTTTATAGTGGGCTTATGACTGTTTATATTTTCTTTGAATTATGACAATTATGACAGTTACTTATAAAACTTGTATAGTTATTACCTATTATATTCTTAGTTTTAATGAAAACATGGCAAAAGTAGTATTCGCTCCGTGCGAAGTCATGGAAAGGGAAGCAAAAGCGATACTAGCGCTAGCTGCGGATAATTCGTGCATTTTAGGGGGATATTTTGTAATTTTGGCATATCAAATATACGTATACATTTTACTTTTTTTCAAAAAAGTAGGTAAAAACAACACAATAAGCAACCGGAGTTGCTGTATTGAAAATTGTACAAATACTAGCAAAAAAAAAACAGTGAAACTTATATAACAAATTTCACTAACAAAATGGAAATTAAATCAAAGAAATAAATTGATAGGTGTACAATAAGAAGAAAAATTACCTTTATTTTTGTGATAATAACAGTAATGCTGGAAATAGTAGACATCAGAAACTAGAAAGTTTTTAAATAAACAATAAATTATCATTTTACGATGTTCTTTAATATCCCTTTATTCTTAAATGTTCATTCAGCAAGGACTAGATTTCAAGATTTCTGCCGTTGATTATAATATTTGGCTGGTATGCAATTTTGTGACTTACTGATCGGAAACTAGTTTTAATCATTCATTCTATGTTTTCTTTAGAACAAAAATGAAAATATAAGTAGCGATCCTTTTTATACATTTTAACTTCACGCTATTATAAATGGTTTCTTCAATGACAACTTATTAGACTTAGGCAACTTCTCATACATTTTCCAGTAAATACTGTTGCCTGCCTATATTTTATTATTGATTTTTAATGATTATACATAATTTTCTTCAATTTAAGCGTAAAAAATATATAATAATAATAAATTATTGTTTTAATTGTTTTATAAATCCATATACTTTTATTAAAACATATATACTTTTTATTTACGAATTCTATTAAAAATTGTATTTGTCAGTATAGGCAGAAATAGTCCTTTAATACCAAAACAAATTGGCGGTGCTGTCGCGCACGGAGCGAATACTCAGCTTGTACATTATGTACAGAATTTAAAGATATCGGTAATTGCCATCGTCAGTTAACCTATTTAACTGATTTACTTCGTAATTATGCTTTAGACGCGGATGATAAGATGTTGTTTTGAAAAATTGAAGAGTCTCTTTTGGACCTTTCTGTTAAATTTCGTGTCCCTAATAAGAAGAGAAATCAAATTGTTTCAAAATATTATATATATTATATGAAACATAAGCATTTTCTAGACAACGAATTCCATCCTATATATTCACCATTAAGAAGAGAAGAAGTTCTAAAAGAATTTGAAGAACATTTAAAAATTGCAGCAATAAATAATAAATTATTGATGTAGTTAATTTAAAAATATATTTTTGATGTTTAATATATTTGCTAATTATGTATATTTGAATATTTTATTTCTTATATTTTTATACATATAAGTGACAATTTGTCAAAAATCGAAAGTAATAAGTCAATCGTTTCTTCAAAACAAGGTTGCTAGGCAACACATTACAGTATCTGATACTGTAATGTTCCATTTACCGGCCGCAAATGTGTACAAGGTAAGTTGATTTACTGGACAGGATGAAATAAGAACAATTTGTTACACAATTCGATGAAAACCACTTACCGTATGCACACATTTACAAGAAACCACAGCAAACCATATAACATGAATTCGAAACGGAAAGTCTTTTGAATGGCTTTCAAAAAACTTGGAGTTTCATTTTCCGATCTTACTTTATTCAATTCATCTTTCCAATTTTTTTCTAATTTATTTGCCAGTTTTTCTGATTTATCATTCTCCAGTACTGCGTATAGGTCTTTTAGTTCTAAGCATCCTTTTGCTCCTTTTCTTACAGTTTGATACATCCATCTATAAAACAAGTATTATATTTATTATATCAAAAATACCTTGCAAGCGAAAATATACATATTTATATTTATATTTATATTTTCCATATTGAATAGGCTCACTAATTTATTTGAGTAAGATTAAAAATGTCAGAATTTGTTAGAAGATCAGAAGACAGACTTTACAGAATATTCACATGGTCAATATTGAAGTCTTCTATACCAATAATACGGGGTTTCCGAATTCTGTCTCAAACTTCAGGTAAAGAGACATTGATATCCGAACTCTGCCACGGATTACAGTTTTAGAGATTAGGTTCCTAAATCTCCGAGCAATTACTACTCCCCCCTTCACCGCGCTAAATTTTGTTAGCAACATCTACTCCCCCGAGGGGGAAAATACCTCTTCTGTAATAGGCTTATTTAATCAGCGTTGCCAAGTTTGGCAGCGCGAGTTCTGACACTTTCTGGCACATGTCAATTTCTTATTTGTATTTTACGGAAAATATTATTATTTATAACGTTGTAAGGGTTGTAAATATATATCTAAGATTTATTATCTCTAATAATATGGTGAAAACATGCTTTATGTGTAAAAGTCCTGTTGAAAATGCTTCTTCAAGATAATATCATAAGTAAGTACAGACACAACCTAATTATCAGAGGCGGTGCATTAGGCAATTACCTTTAATTTGCAATTAAACTTTCTTTTCTTTTCGAAAAATTAAAATTAAGAGCAAGTAAACTCCAGTTAAGTTCGTCTTCATCCATCTCATAATGATTATAGTAAAGGTTAATTACTTATTATTATTTTAATATCACATCTTTGTAAAGTTTATTGTTATTTTTTTTAAGTTACCTTTTCTTGATATAAGAAAGAAATACATGTTTTCAAAATATAGGCATTCAACAAGTGACCACCTGAATAACTTTTTATGTTAATGAAAATTTTTATTACAGACCTCAGCGGAGGAAAATATTAAAGAAAAATGCAATTTCGACGAAAAAAGTATAATAATCAATCCTGTTACTATTTCTACACTATATTCATCTGCTACTAAAATACTAAAACAGCAAGTAAGTAGAGAAACTTAAGTTTCTCTCAAAAAGAATATTTAAGGAAAAAGGCATAGCCATTTTTTAGTTGACACTTTTTTTTGACTAATCTAAAAGACTAATTTTGTGTATTGTTTAAATTTTAATTTTTTGTACTTATTTTGTTTTAGGTTTAAACAAAATGAACTTCTAAGATATGCATGGAATATCCCAAAAAAGCTAAGGAAGGTTTTAAAATGCTTAAGAAAACTATTCAGAGCCAAAAACATAAAATAGTCTTCCTGTCCAAAATATAAATATGTATAAATATTTAGATATGAGTGATTTTTTATTCTATAAATAGAACACAATTTGCTTTTAAATCACTACCTAATGAACTATATTATATAGTACAAAACTAAACAAGAATATCACATTATTCATGTTTTTTTTAATTTTCTTAAAAAACGTCCCAAAAAAATGTGAATATTTATTATTGGAGTTTACATCGTTATGCTAAAACAATACTAGAACAACTTAAATAATGTGGATTTTGACTATTTTGAGTTATGCAGATCATTATGATCTAAAAAAATGTTTGTCTGGTGCTATAGTCAGGTATAAAAACATTCTTTTATTTAAATACAGTTGCAATATACATTTTATTTAGTTTTTAAGTTAAAACCTATTAGGACATCCTAAAATGACTTTTTTCGTTTGGATGTGAGATTAATTATTCTACATTTTTGTTGGTGAAATAGGATATATTAAGATGTCTTACTGTTTTCTCTGATTATCTAAAAAGTTAGAACAATATACAAAGACTGTTATAACAAAAAAGAAATATACCTTGACTTAAACACACAATTAGTCAGTTCAATTGTACGATAATTTAAAGCAGAAATCCAGAAAATTTTAAAAATGTGTTTAAATGTGTTTTTACTATAACAAGAACATAATTATTAAAAAAACTTGGCACATTAACATTGACGATAGATTTTTATAATATATATTATACAAATCACAACGAACTACACAAAATGACATTATTAATAATTTAGCAATAAAAAAGTTAAGTACAATGATGACATTAAAAGTTAAGTTTCTCGAAATAATTTTTTTAAATTGTCTCAGTACCTACCTAGTATTTTTCTAGCACAATGATATTATATGAATGTGCATTGTGTGATATCTTATATTTTAGGAATAAAATGATATATTTTTTTGCAGGTTTCTGTTAACAACGATTCCAAGAACTTTTGAAAATATTATTAAAACGGCCTTTGCAACATTAAATTTTTATTCTCCATAAGGCTACAGCTTCCTAAGAAGAAAGTTCAAGACTTACCAGACCCAAAATATCAAAATTTTACCAATTAATTGATGGTCCTACTGGTTTTCATAGGAAAATTCTTCTCGTAACTACTAAAAGAAAAGTGGCAGAGGCAACCGAAGAAGGCAAAAAAGTCTTTTGCAAAACAAAAACTAGAAATTTGTTTAAGAATATAATTATTGTTTGAAGTTTTACCATTATTAATTTTTGATAACGATTTAAGATTATGAAGTTCTATTATGTATTTTACTCTTTGATAACCTATGTTTAAATTTTTATTAGGACCAAAATAAATTATAATTTTCATTTCAACTACAAAAACCCTCATAATATTAAAAAGGGGAAAAACGTTAGATTAGTTATGTTCAGGAATAAACTCTTTAAACATTTATCTACTTAAAATGTGTTACTTTTAGAAGGTATGTTATTAACTTTCTATTTGTACTTGTATTAATTTATTTCATTTTATTATCTGTTGCATTTTCAAATTGATTTTGATATTAATCTTATCTATTTATATATTTTTATGTTCAAATATATATTTTTTTTTTTTTCATTGAAACACACGTTTATTAGCTTATTAAATATAATGAATTCATGTTGTTTTATTATGTGCTTGTATGAATAATTACTTTTATTTCATTTTAAAAATGAACTTTGAAGATAAAACCGAAACGGTGAGTGAGAACAAAAAATTAGACGAAAGTGACGATATTTACTGGAGCTTTCATCTACACGCTCCTTTTTATAGCCATCTACACCTGAGCCAGCAAGTTTCGTCTTTCCTCCATCCATACATTCTCCAGATTTACAGAGAAAACGCCATCCTCTTTAACATATCCAGACCTTCTTTGACGGGGACTATACCACTACATTATCAGCTTTATTTGTTATCCCGAAGCAAATTAAATGCATTCGTAATTGCTCAGTCTCGCCTCTTCTCTTGTAGATTCCGTACTCAGTTTTCTTATTTTTAGTTGTTTGCACTGCTCTTTTATTTTCACAGCTTTAATTCTATAATGCTGTAACGCTACAATATGGATCCATTTTTGTGGTTTATACTATTTAATGTTATTCGTAAGTGACCAACCTATTATAATAATTAAAGATTATTGTATTACAGCCCTGAAGATGTTCCTGTAAGGCCGAAACTAGTCGCTCCTGTATTTATTTATAAAATTGATTTTAAGGTTTTATTCTTCAATTGAAAAAATTAGACCTTTAGTGATTTTGTTTCATTTCCTATATTAGACATATATAAGACGGTATTTATTTTTAAAAATAGTAAAATTAGCAATTTTTTTTTAGTTTTTTCTTACAATTAAAACGTTTGGACAATGTGTGTTTTTATAGATAAATGATACGCCACTGAACAAGAAGGATGTTTACCTTCCCCCTTGTGCCCGCTTCCTCACTTCCTCTACAGATGTTACTAACACAACAATCGCCTACAAACTCGTTTTCACGCTCCCTCTATTAGTAATTGCTCGGAGTCCTAAATCATTAGAGGGTCTCTCCGATCCGATTAAGATATTATCAATGTAGGTATCCAAGACATTGCTGATATTGTTTATTATTTGTGGTACTTACATAGCTACATAAATACATAAATAAAAATATGAAATAATATAAAAAAACAACTTATTATGAAAATATTCGAATTTATTAAACAAAAAACACTATAAAATTAGTATAAAAAACCATAGTCTAATCAACAAGTTCAAAAGCGTGTTTTTGGGACATACTACAGTCAACTCTTGTTAATTCAAACCTGCGCAAATTCGAACCTCTCTATAATTCAAAGTCATTACGAGTTCCCTACAAAATCTCTTTATATTTCGAACTAAATCAATACATTTTCATGCACTTGGTAATTCGAACGAAACAATCATTGCTATATAACAAAACGACGCGTTAATTCGAACTCATAGGCGTCCAACACTCGACAATTCAAAGTTGTAGAGAGAAAGAGACGTAAAAATTGTAAGTTCATACGTACATTTTGCGACAAGTTCAAACTTGTATCAACGTACACGAGTCTTTGTTTTTGTTATGACTAGTTTGACTATTTGACACGCCTTCTCACGAATGGGTTTGTTTAGTTATCATTCAGTTACTGTTACTCTTTCGTTGGTGTACAGATTAAAAGTTTGTCGTAGTTATGAGCCCTAGAAAGTATAAATGTTTGACGATTGCTGAAAAGAAGAAGTTAATCGAAAAAGTAGAGGAAGGTAAGAAGAAAAGTGATGTTGCAAAAGAATTTAAGATTCCTCTGAGTACTCTCTCAACCATAATAAAGCACAAGGAGAAAATTAATGCTGCTCAAACTGCTGGAGTACGGAAAATAACTACTAAAGGTGAATTTCCTCGTCTGGAAGAAAGCCTGGTCATTTGGCTAAGACAGTGTAGAGGACAAAAAGTGTCTATTAGCGGAAACTTGTTGAAGGAAAAAGCAAAAGAGTTCGCGTCTACTCTAAACATCAAAAACTTTGCGGCAAGTGAAGGGTGGCTTACAAATTTCAAAAAGAGAAATGGAATTGTGTTTAAAAAAGTTTGTGGGGAAAGTGGAAGTGTTGATGATGCAGTTTGCTTAGATTGGCACGGTAAATTGAAGACCTTGATTGAAAACTATGATGCCCGAGACATTTTTAATACTGATGAAACTGGCCTATTTTTCAAATGTTTACCGGACAAGACGCTTACTTTTAAAGATGAAAAATGTCATGGGGGAAAACATAGTAAAGAGAGGTTGACAGTTTTACTTGCAGTAAATATGGACGGATCGGAAAAACTTAAACCCTTAGTGATAGGAAAAGCAATGAAACCGCGATGTTTCAAAGGAGTGAAATCGTTTCCTACTGATTATCGTGCTAACAAAAAAGCTTGGATGACGACAGAACTTTTTAACAATTGGCTTTTAACAGTTAATGGGGACATGAAACGACAAAAGCGGAAAATTTTACTATTTTTAGACAATTGCACTGTCCACAACAGTCCCCCTGCATTGTCCAACGTGGAACTCTACTTCTTTCCGCCAAATACAACTTCCAAATTGCAACCATTGGACCAAGGGATCATCCATAATTTTAAGACGTTCTATCGCAAAGAAATTGTTAAGCTCGTTTTAGAATCTCTCGACAAGCATCTAACTGCAAATATCACGGTTCTGACAGCTATTTTACTGATTGACAAGGTATGGAGAGCTGTAACACCCCTAACGATTCTCAATTGCTTCAAAAAATCTGGTTTCTTAAAAGAAGATCTTCCAATACTTATGGATGATGAAGAACCAGCAATAGAACCATTAGTTGAAATTAGCGGTGTGAGTTTTTCTGACTTTGTTCAAGTGGATCAAGATGTTGCTGTCTCAGGTTCACTAACCGATAGCGAAATTTTATCTGCGACAGATACGAATGAAAAAAGTAATGATGATGATGAGGGCGATACCTCAGAACCTTTGGCAGAGGTGTCAGTTAAGGAAGCAAGGTCCTCATTTGATACCTTACAAAGCTTCTGTCTTCAAAACGAAAGTGATGAAAAAGCATTTCAGGCACTTTTTCTCTTAAAAAAAATTATTGAGCAGGCTGAGCAGCAGCAACATGCTTTGAAGCAAACCAGTATAACAGAGTTCTTTCGAAAGATTAATTAATTCACATTATGAATACATACATGTATGTATGTGCACGAATGTGCCTCTAAACTTTTGACCTTGTTATAGAATAGCAGTTAATAAATAATAATTGATCAACACTTAATAATTCGAAGTTTTATTTATTTTCTCTCACAAATTTCGAACCATTGATATTTCAAACACTCGATAATTCGTAATAATTTAAGAGTCCCTCCAGTTTCGAATTAACGAGAGTCGACGTATTACGAAAATTATGTTCAATAGCTGATCCGATTCGGAATAATGTCTAGATCAATGTGTGAAGAAAAATTTTGCAGTGCATAAAAAATTGCAAAAGTTATAAACAATTAAACACCTCAAAAACATGGTGTTTGGTTTTTCGCCTATAGTTTGTAAACTATAAATATTTTTGGATTTTTCAAAAAAGATCCATAAAGAGGAGAAAATTTGCTATAAACAAGTTCCCTCCCGGAACTGTACCTCCATTATTTATAATTTTAATTTAACGCTCAAAGTAGCCTTCTGCGCGTCATTTTTAGGTTGTGCGCACGGCGTCGAAACCGAGTACGTTACATAAAATAATTTTTTTAAGTTAATAAAATTAAATTCAAAAATTTTAAAAAATTACGGTGTATTCTAAACACTTAGAAGAATTCATTTCCGAAAAGAAATTTGTTATTACAATAAAATTAAAATGTTATTATATTACAACAAAAGAAGTAGTGTGTAGAACAAAATAAATTGTTATAGGCTCAACTGATTTTAATATTTTAATAATAATTCTTTATTTTAATAATTAACAATATTTTTTTTGAAAAATACAATTAAGAAATTGTTTGATAAATAAGAATAATTGAAGCCCTTGATGTAAAAAGGATGCAAGCGACAATTTGAGACTGTTTTACCTGAAAACATCTATTATAGTCTATTTTTATGTATGAGAGAGTAATAAAACAGCATTTCTAATGCAAAACTTAGTACGGTCATTTTAAATAATTTTACAGAATAATCTAAATATTTCCTAAAATTGTAATAAATGTACCTGAGCTATTACAAGTTTTGGGTCTTTTATTGGTCCTTTATAAACATAAGTTGTGCAGAACAATAGAAAAAGGTTTGGGCAGGCCAAAAGCCCTGTGTATTAAAGATTGCATAGCCATATCTTAAGATTATTTTCAATAAGTACCTATTTGCCAATTTTGTTTTATTTTAATTCCAAGAATTTTTTACAGTAATCAAATTATAAGTAGATAAATACCTTCCCAACAAATTTCACCGAAAATGCGATTATAGGTTTTCCATTTAGTAAGGAGGTCCAAGTTGTGTATTCTTGACAGTTTACTAAATGTCGTTTAGTTGCAACTTGCAAGGTGCAGTGTGAATTCTAGTGTGATCATGGAAAATTTGGAAGGGCCGCGTAAACGACAAAAAATCGGTCCTTTAACAGCTAATGAAAAAACATTAATATTTAATTGTTTTAAATCATTTACAGACAAACATTTATGTAAAAGTGTTGATGACACAGTGGAATTAGTTAGTAGTACGCTTGGTGTTGGGAAATCTACGATTTACAGAGTTGTAAAAGAAGAGAAATGTGGCGAGTTTTAAACAGCACGTAAAGCTCCAGGAAAACCAAAATTTCAATTAGAAAATCTTTTGAAAGAAAAACTTCGAAGGAAAGTGCATGCGTTCTTCTTTAGAAAAGAATTTCCGACAGTAGACAAAGTTCTTGCCACGGTTCGAGATGATAAGGATTACCCTGAAATGAGTCGAAGCACACTATGAAAACTTTTAAAAGAAATAGGTTTTCTATGGAAAAAGCATTCCAGAAAGTCTATTTTAATAGAAGAAGCGATATTGTAGTATGGAGAAGAAATTACCTAAGGACTATAAAAGAAATGAGAAACCAAAGAAGAAATATATTTTATTTAGATGAAACATGGATCAACGAGGGACAAAAACCAAATAAATTTTGGCAAGATGAAACTGTTACAAGTCGAAGACAGGCTTTTTTAAATAATTTATCTACTGGTTTAAATCCACCATCAGAAAAGGGGCGCATACTAATAATAGTACACATCGGTAGTTCAAACGGTTTATACAGGTGGTTTATTGACTTTTGAATCTACTCGTACCGGTGACTACCATGAGGACATGAATGCTGATGTCTTTAAAGAGTGGTTCGAATAATTTATAGATCTTCTTCCTCAGCACTGTATATTAGTAATGGATAATGCAAGTTATCACTCGAGACTTATAGAAAAAATGCCCACAACCAAGTGGTTAAAAAAAGATTTACAGAACTGGCTAAATTCAAAGATTATTAAGTTTCATCCCGGTTCTGTGAGAAAAGAACTGTATCATTTGTGTTCCCTTCATAAAGAAAAATTCAAAAAATATGAAATTGATGAAATTTCAAAAAATCGTGACATGACGGTGGTTAGATCACCACCATATCATTGTGAAGTAAACCCGATTGAACTGATATGGGCACAGATAAAGGGAGAAGTTTCAAGAAAAAATAATTCTTTTAAAATGAGTGATGTTAAACAGTTGTTTTTGGAGGCTGTAAATAATGTCATGAAAAGGCAGTAAATCATACGATTAAAGAAGAAGAGAGAATGTGGAAGTTGGACAATATTACTGATGAAATGATCGAGCCACTCATTGTAAATATTGGTTGCGACAGTTCATCTTCTGATTTCGATTCTGATTTGGATTTGTAGGTAAGAAGTAGTTTTTATATTAAAATTATTATTTATGAACGTAACGTTGTTTAAAAGTCAAAGTTTAAACCCTTATGCCTACATAACCCGTTTGACACAATGTTCTTAACATACCTTGTGGAAAAATAAATCATTTTTGAAAAAATTGCACTTTTTTACCTTCAGCAGATTAATTAGGTGAAAATATAAGTGTATACTCGAGGAATAACTTCAAAAAATATTTTAGCTGTCTACTAAAAGAAGTGCTACGCCTATGGATTACGAACGCTTTATTATTTTAATACTCTCTCATACATAAAAATAGACTATAATAATTAAGGTTACTAGCCACATACAAATTATTTTACCTCTATTTCGAATTTAAGGCACAATTTTTAATAATATTTATATTTTAATAAATTTTTATAATTTGCATTTGACAGATTTAAAACAAATGTAAAACTCCAAGGTCTTCAATTATTAAGGAAATAAATATTTTAATTGCATATATCTAATTATGTTTTATTAAAATAACAAAAAGTATATTTAACAAAAATGTTTGTCGGCAGTATAGCAACAGAACATTTGTTATTGTTATAGTGTTTTTTTTTTTAATATAACAATGCATGAATATACAGTGATATAGAATTATTAAATAATGTTTTAAAAGAACTGATTGATCACACACTTGAAAACACCTCACTTAGTTCTTATTGTTTTTCTTCGGGTAGCACTGTTTACGTAATTATAAAACTATATAAAAGCTACTTACCCAAAAAATAATTTTGTTATGCAATTCACGCTTTTTGTTGGATTTTCCGTTTTCAACTTGTAGCCGATATCCATTTTACACTTTAAAACGTATTTACAATCTCATTAGTCTTTACCATTTCAAATAAAACATCATAACAATACTATTGAATACCTACTGTAGAAAGTGCTTTTAGTTTTGTATACCAACACAACTTTTATAAAACTATTAATTTAGAATTAATAATTGGTATCATTCTAGTCTTAATCGTTAGACAAGTATTTATATAGGGTCTAATTAATAATTTTGCTTATTTTTGCATATTGGCGTAAGGTGGGAAAATACCAGCATTCTAAGGAAAAATTATAAAGAAAATAATAATATGTGCAAGAAAACAAAAAATGATTGCATTCATTAATTCATTTGCTCTATCTCATCGGTAAATATTTAGAATTTTATTATTATTAATATCACAGATTATATAGGTACTTTGTTTAACTTTATACATAAAATGTAAAAGGTCTTTACAAAAACATACCACATATTCCTTAGACCAAAATAAGTCGATTTAAGTAAAATTACCTTAGTACAAAGTTGCTTCGATTGGGCTCCAGAGAGCCTTGAAGTTACAATTTTTAAATCGTTTTTCCCATATAAATTTAAAACGGCATATGCGATTTTGCTGAAATTTGGTATATTGGTAGAGTTTTATGTGGCAAAAAAAATGGTATTACAATTTTGTCCGATAATAATACATAGGCGTAGAACTTGATTTTTTAAATAATTGCACCTTTAAAAATTCTACGCCAATGGAAGAAAAGGAGTTTGAGTATGAAATTTAGATTGCGCAACTCATTTACTTTAAAAAAGGTACTCTTGATAAGACTCGATTACTCTCATGGTTTTCGCTAAATTTCTGTTTTAATAATTTAGAGTGTATAGGTTTCACAAAAATATTTATTTACAACATAATCAAAATAGAGATTTTACAAAAATTGTTCAAAATGTTCACCATTTTCACGCATACAAAGATTTATACGTTGAAGAAAATTAAACTGTATCCTTTTCATAACTTGTTCATCATCTCTAAGATTGTTTATTGCATCTTGAATACGTTGCCAGAGTTGTTCCTCATTTTCTACAGGTTCCCTGTAAACTGTGGATTTCAGATGTCCCCATAAAAAGTAATCCATCGGTGTTAGGTCTGGGGAACGTGGTGGCCAGTTTACATGTGCGTCATTACCTCTGCCTATCCATTTGTGTGGATATTGTTCATTCAAGTGGTTTCTAACGTTTAAAGAAAAATGTGGTGGAGCTCCATCTTGTATAAACCACATATCTCTCCGAAGTTAGAAAGGTAGATCTTCTAACAATTCTGGCAACGTATTTTGTAGAAAATCCAAATAATTTTCTCCAGTTAATCTTCGTGGAAGTATGACAGGACCAACAATGAAATTACCAATTATTCCAGCCCACACATTAATTTTGAATTCGTGCTGAAAATGGTTTACCTTTATTGCATGCGGATTTTCAACGGCATAAACATGTTCATTATGGGTATTAGTTATACCTCTTCTTGTAAAACCCGCTTCATCGGTAAAGAGAACCTTCTTGACAAAGTTTGGATCTCTTTCTCTTTGCATATTAACAAATCGACAAAAACCCAAACGAATTTGAGGATCATGGACTAATAATTCTTGTACTGGCTTCTTATGGTATGGATATAGCAATTGTTCTCTAAGCGCTTTATGAAAGACATCTTTACTTACTCCTAGTTCCCTTCCAATTCGTCTGGTGCTTAATTCTGGATCTTCTTCAACACGTTCTAAAATGTCTTCTTCAACTTCAGGAATCCTTACAAAACGTTCTCTTCCATTATCAACAGTGTTGGGAGCAAAGGAACTGGTCTCCCGAAGACGTCTCTCAACAGCAGCAAAAGTTGGGTGGCTAGGTACACGACGATTTGGAAACCTTTCAGAGTACACCCTGACACTCTCTCGAGTATTTCCTTCACATGTCAGTAACATATCGGTATATTCTGCATTGGTATATTGTACAGCCATATTAATAAACCACGCATTTGTTTTTTTAATTATTGAGTCAGATAGAACACTTTCAATCGTTAACAAGAGATTAGGTGTTAAAACTTGACAATATTTTTATTTAGATGAAACTATGGAAACCAACAATAAATGTTTTTGTATACGTATTGCAGGCAAATAATTAATATTCCTCAAAAAATCGTACATGGCAAGAATCGAGTATTTTTGTTAAAAGTCTCGATTAGACGTGTTGAAGATATGAAAAAAGTACAATTTTATGTTTTTCATCGTATAAAATTTTGTCCGATAATAATACATAGGCGTAGAACTTGATTTTTTAAATAATTACACCTTTAAAAATTCTACGCCAATGGCAGAAAAGGGGTTTGAGTATGAAATTTGGATTGGGTACTCATTTACTACAAAAAAGTACCCTTGATAACACTCGATTTACTCTCATGGTTTTGACAAAGTTTGTATTTTAATAATTATTGTTTATGTTCTAAAATTACTAAAATGCAAATTTCGTCAAAACCATGAGAGTAATCGAGTCTTATCAAGAGTAACTTTTTTAAAGTAAATGAGTTGCACAATCTAAATTTCATACTCAAACTCCTTTTCTTCCATTGGCGTAGAATTTTTAAAGGTGCAATTATTTAAAAAATCAAGTTCTACGCCTATGTATTATTATCGGACAAAATTTTAATACAATTTTTTTTGCCACATAAAACTCTACCAATATACCAAATTTCAGCAAAATCGCATATGCCGTTTTAAATTTATATGGGAAAAACGATTTAAAAATTGTAACTTCAAGGCCCTCTGGAGCCCAAACGAAGCAACTTTGTACTAAGGTAATTTTACTTAAATCGACTTATTTTGGTCTAAGGAATATGAGGTATGTTTTTGTAAAGACCTTTTACAGACACCCTGTATATGAACTACTGGACACTTAACTAATATATATTTATTGGGCAAGATGGTTTGTAGAAATCAATTTTATTATTTAAAAGTTTATGTAAAAATGATATTGAAGCATGGTTTTGCCTATCCATCAGAAGTTCTATATCAATCATACGAAGCAGGTTCCTCATGAATAAATCCTCTTTCAGGATAATGTCCATAAGACATAAAATATATCAAGTTGTGGTAGTCAATATTACAGAACAATATTAACAAAATTAGAGCAATTTTTAGCACAATATCCCAGCAATTTAGATGCTGCACCGATAATCTATCAATTTAGCCACTAATAGTAAATTTGTTGTCGAATTATTTGCCAAAGTCTTTAAGTGTGTCACAGCGTTGTAGAACCTCATTGTTAAGTAAATAAAATTCAAAGAGATCTTTGAGACGAGAAAATGAGACAATTTTACTTTCCCAAGCACTATCTAATTTTACAGTAAAGTTTCAGGTCATCGAAGAAAGGTAGTTTATGAATATTTAAAATAATAACGGTCCTAGATTTGATCCTTGTGAAACACTTGAAGTAGTTTAATATGGATGAGACCTAAACTTACCGTGTTCAACAATCTAAAAACGTCCAACTAAGTAATTTTTAAGAAGCTGAAGTAATGAAAATGATAGCCCAGCAGATCTTAACTTCGATAATAGTAAGAAATGGTCATTTGCATCTACCTGTCCTACCAAATCAAAAATCTCAAAAGTATACTGGATACAGCAAACTAGACCTGTGTCCCTCATATCAAATATTGCTAAAATTGTTGAAAAAATAATAAAAATTAGGCTAACAAACTTTTTGGAAAAACATAACATATCAAACTCGCAATTTGGCTTCAGACAAAAAATGTCAACCCAGGATGCAATTAAGTGCTTAACAAAAAATATCTATGAAACATTAGACAAAAATAAACCATCAATTGGAGTATTTATTGATTTAGCAAAGGCTTTTGACACTGTAGACCATAGCCTGCTTCAATCATCTTTAGAAGACATAGGAGTGAGAGGTACTGCTAATGATTTGTTTGCAAGCTACTTAACAGGTAGAAAACAAAAAGTAAAAATCAAGCAGGATCTAAGTAGTGAACAAACTATCATGTGTGGTGTCCCTCAGGGAACAGTGTTGGGTCCAGTGTTATTTATAATTAACCTAAACAATTTGTTTTTATTAGAAGAAGACAACAAAATAATTAGCTTTGCAGACGACACGGTAATATTTTATACAGCTGAAAATTGGTTTGAACTAAAACAAAAGGCTGAGGTCCATTTATCCGAAATTAAAAATTGGTTCGATCACAGACTACTTTCAATGAATTTCAAAAAAACTTTGTATGTACCTTTTAGTTCTCTAGACTCATCTCTTCCAAATTTTAAGTTAACAGTCCAAAACACAATTCAAATTCAACCTGCAAACCAAATAAAATATCTAGGTATTTTTATTGATAGTATGCTAAAATGGAACGTACATATTGATTTTTTAGAAAAGAAACTTAGATCAATTCTATATAGGTACAAACAGATCTCAGAGATACTGGATATTAAACAAAAAATTATAGTATACCAAAGTATAGTTGAACCGCATATTAGATATGGTATTTTAGGATGGGGCGGTGTTACTAGAACTCACCTAAATTCTTTGGAAATTCTTCAAAGAAGATTTTTACGTATTATTTTAAATAGAGAGGCTTTGTGTGCAAGTGATCAACTATATAAAGATACAAATATATTAGACTGTCGTCAGCTATTCTTTCTTCAAGCATGCAATACTCAGTTTATGACGAAACATTCCCTCAAAACCGGAACACATAAGTACGGCACAAGACAAAGGGAGGACATTATCTTGCCTTTTATGTTCAAGTCTATAGGACAAAGAAGTTTTAATTATCTGGGTCCTAAAGTTTTAAATTTGTTTCTAAAAAATACAGATAATGTAAATACAAAAAACTTGAAAAAAAAAATTCAACAAGTTCTGATGCAACTACCGCGACAAGAAATAAAAAAATTGTTAGATTAGGAATAAAATAGGAAAAAAACAAAAACACAAAAAATAAAAATAAACAACAATCTAAACGTATAAAAAAAAACGCAAAAAAATTAAAGAAATCATCCAACAAATAGTATATTTCTTACAATTGTTTTTGATTTGTTTTAATTAATTTTTAAATTGTTTTTAATTTGATTTTAATTTTAGTTTTTAGTTTTAGTTTTAATATGTTTTTAAGAATTAATCTATATATGTCTGTTTATTTTATTTTATTATGCAAAAGCATGCTTACACACAGACATTTTATGTCTCGTAAGTTTTCTTTTATTCACATAGGTACCATTAATTTTCTTTTGTATCACAAGTTTTATAAGTATGTATTTATTGTTTTTATGTGAATAAATTATTATTATATTATTATTATTATATTTGTACAGTAAACGCAAAATCTAAAGAACCAGCGCAAATGCTCAAGTTCGTTTACTTAAAAATCACCACGCCCATTCACAATTTGAACCTTGTCCTTGCTTACGGTCAGTAGCGTAACGACTAGATCATTGTTTGTTTCTTGTTTCTGTGTTTTGGTTAAAGTGACTGGTTTTATTTTTATAATGTCTTCTATTGTGGGTGAATAAAAGTGCAGATCTGTTATTAACGGACAAAGTCGTGAATACAATGTTTTTAAATATTTTGACGCAACAAAAAGGAAGGAGTTACTTTAGATGATATCAAACTTCAAACTGCACAAGCAACAGGTAAACATACTCTGTAGTTTATTTGTAATTAAACTTGCGTAGTTTTCCATATTTTTTTGTATTTTACACACATATCTATGCATTTTATTTTTGATTAATACTTTATTTTTAAATTTTTTAAATTTTTGTTTCCTAATAAATGTAAAAAAATACTTGAAATAATATTAGTGCCAAATTGGTAAAAACTATAAAATACAATCTAAAAAATTAATAAAATAACTTAGAAAAAGAATGAAATAATGAAATAAATTAAAATTCCATTAAAAATCTATTTAAAAATTAATTTTTCTATGAAGATAACAGGGTATTAAAATAAAATTAGTGCCAAATTTTTAAAGACTTCTAAAAAATTAACAAAATTGTTTAGGAATAATTTTAGAACGTCCCCTTGCTCTAAAGGGGACGTTTTTCGGAGGTTTACAGTGATCTGCTACCTTTCGCACAAAGTCTTAACTATATTTACTGCTTGTTTAATCACTTAGAAAAAGAATGAAATAATGAAATAAATTAAAATTCCATTAAAAATCTATTTAAAAATTAATTTTCCTATGAAAATAACAGGGTATTGAAATAATATTAGTGCCAAATTGGTAAAAACTATAAAATACAATCTAAAAAGTTATTAAAATCACTTAGAAAAAGAATGAGGGGGTAAAATTAATTTAAATTTCATTAAAAATTTATTAAAAAATTAATTTTCCTACGTACATAACAGGGTATTTAAATAAAATTAGTGCCAAATTTTTAAAGACTTCTAAAAAATTAACAAACGCCCCCTTTCTCTAAAGGGGACGTTTTTCGGAGGTTTTCAGTGATCTGCTACCTTTCGCACAAAGTCTTAGCTATATTTACTGCTTGTTAAAGAATATTGGAGATTATCTCCTCGTCCTTATACTTCCTAATTATAAAAACCTGATCGTACACATAGCAATGTTTCTCTAAAGGTCATTCACTGAATTTACACCCATATGTGTTCAAAAATGTGATAAATTAATTGACGACTTGTGTACACGTTAAAACAGGATAAACGAAATTAACCCTATAATTATATCCCTTAATGATGACAGCGACGCTAGTGACACAAATTTTGAGAGTGATGCTGAAGATTTATAGGTATGTCATAAGACAATTATTTATAATAATCACTGTTTAATATAGAATTTTAAAAGTTATGTTATTTTTAATCATCGTACTTACTTAATCGCAGGGTAAAACTGTGTATGTAAATTAAAATTTTTGTTCTGAATAAACTATTATTAAACAACAAAATCATGTAACTATCTCTTTTAAGCTTTCTGAGGCAAAATTAAATATCTAAAATTTGTATTTATTTTGTTTCTATAAGAACCCCTTGCAGTATACAAAATAACGCCATCCACGAGTAAATGTTTAAAATACACAACTGACCAGTCAAATCTTTCATTTATTTCTTAATCCGATGTGGGTGTAAATTCAGTGAATGACCTATACCACATTTTGTATTACTTTCCTATTTTACACCACAATAATATTTTTGTTAGCAAAATAAATACATACAAAAGAAACAATTGCCAATTATTGTTGTTCACAATAATACGCTCATTTAACTAACAATGAAGTTTTTTCATTTCCATTATTATTATTATTTTAATATTTCAAGTTACATTTAAAGGTATCGAATAGAACTATTTTTATAGTTAAAATATCCTGATAAATAAGAAAAATACCTGCTGATGATTTAATATTTAATAACCAATCTAGAAAAGTCAGATCCAGTTCATTATCTGGTAATTCTTTCAATAAGTAATAAATTGAAATGAAAAATATATTAATAAAAGATGTCCTTATATTTTGTAATTTATCCTGGCTCTAGGAGAACGGTATAGAAACACAATGCTATTGAATAGAGAGAAATAGAATAATACGTCACCGAATGCAGATTACTTTTCTCGAAACAAGCGTTAATACGATTATATTTACTACTGCAATTTCGTGCAAACATCAAACAAAAACATTATTCAGTCAAGGACGATACTGGATTTGCTTTCGGAAAATGACGATTATGGTACTCCAGATGAGCAGTGCTTACTTTCCCCTTCCACAGAGAGATGATTGTTCTCTGCGGAATAAGCATTACTATTTTGGTATTAGAAGATAGAGCTGCAAAAAACTAGAATAGACACTCTCCACAGTGTCTACTCAAAATTTAAAATATATATGACTTTATTACTTCCGCAACACTAGTTAAATTAAACATCTACTATAGAATGGATACTAAATTTATTTATAATATACTTTGGTCTGGTACAGCAGTCTAATTCTACTTCATAGAAATATAATTATTATCATTAATATGATATTTCTTAATCTAAGAACCTAACACCAGGTTTGCGACATCTTATTACCAAATAATTATGTAATTAAGTTTGTAAAATTTTAGTACGCATCCTCGTTGTTTTCAAAAGCTGCCATGGCAATATCTTTAAGTTGCAAAGACATTGTAGGTCCTGTCTCCATTACTAATTTATGTAAATGGCCGCCTGGGATTTGCAAAAGTTTGTGTGGATGGTCAAATTCGACTATTTGACCAAAATTCATAACTAAAACTTTGTCAGAGTCCATGATGGTGTTAAGCCTATGGGCGATAGTTAGAACTGTGCATTCCTTGAACCTCTTGCGAATTGTAGTTTGAATGAATGAGTCAGTTCTAAAAATAATATAGAGGATATTTATAATATATCAAGTGACTAAATGGATGTCATCTGTTAAATAAACATTCATAACTTCAATGTTCAATCAGAACATAATAAAATAACATCCTGTACATCAAAGTTTAATTTATTTCACCATAAATTAAACAGTTAAAATTAGAACGTTTCTGGTCGGCGAACCTGAAAATTGCAACTCAGCGAAAACATCGAGTTCGTTGTTTAATTAATTAGCAAAGTTGTTATCTTATATTTAATATTGTTGAAATTTTGTTTAATAATAAGTTTATAAAAATGTTAATTTTTTTAAAAATAAATGCTTTTTAACCCCACGTTTCGTCTATCTAACATCCTTAAAATTAATATAATAATTATTAAAAAATAGCCCTTATTTTTTAATACAAATTATTCAAGTAGTAACCCTAAAACAATGTCACTGCATTGCGCGTCAGAAAAAACGGGTTACCTAAAAAATTTACGAAATAATTCATCTTTTTAAATATATCTTATATTTATAACAATAAATCTATTATGTATTAAGTCAGTAATTGTTTTATCATGCTATCCGATGTTACCATAAGTCACTAAGCAAAAAAAATGAGAAATCATAAACTTATTGAAAAATTACAGTTACAGTTTACTTTGCAATAATAAAATTAAAGAGGCAGAAGATCACTTCTTATTACGGCGTATTGCCACCCCGATTCTGGCATAGAAATCAGCAAGGTCTGAATGTTTGCTTGAGAAAAAGTGGTCTATTCTTCAATAAGGTCCAAACGAAGCTCTTCGCGTCTTACACGCCTTTTGAGTTGGTCCCAAACATGCTCAATAGGATTAAGATCCGAGCTTAGAAGAGGCCAATCGATTTTGGGAATACCAACTTCCTCAAGGTATTGTGTTACCATCCTTGCCGTGTGTGGTCGCGCGTTATCCTGCATTAGCAACAAATCATTGCCAACAAACCCAGCATATGGCATTACATGCTCTTCTAGGATCTTTGTTATGTATCATTCTAGCAATAATAACGAGATCCGTGTGTGCCTCAAAAGAAATTCCTGCCCAAAACATTACTGAGCCACCCCCAAAAGCAACTCGAGGTGACCGAGTACAGGCAGCATAATGTTCTCCAGCTCTTATGTAAACCCTTTTTCGGCAATCTTTTCCATATTTGCACATTCTAGACTCATTCGTGAACAGTGGATTTTTCTAGTCGTCCACTATCCAATTCATATGTTCGCGTGCAAAAGCAAGTCTGCGTCTTTTGTGTACTGCAGTAAGCAAGGGTCCTGTAGCTGGACTGCAAGCTGTCAAACCACTTTCTCTTAACCTTTGGCTAACAGTAGAAGTGCTGACTGCCGTTCCATGAACTTGCTAAAGACTGCAATGTTGAGTAAAGCGATCTTCCCTGGCTGTTGTTTTTTTTTTAGCACTTGTACCGGGTCGTCGGTGATAAGAATCGGTCACAAGAAACCGTTGGTGTGTTCTTTGCACAGTCGAACGACTGACATTGTCTCGCCACATTCCGTTGACTTGCTCCATTTTCCAATAATGTTACAATCCGAATAGCTCTTCGATATTTTTCATCCATTATTAAGGATTACGCTTTACGAAGACCAGTGTAGTACAAAAATACCTTTAATACTCTTTAGGCTTCGATCACATTAAAGGCACGCTTGTGCAAGTAATTTGGTGGCGCTCGCGTGCGCAAGCGGGCACATAGAAACAAATCCTCAGGAGAGCGACAGAAACAAGTGGTGCTTGTCCATCACTGCTCACATTGCACGCAATAAGCAAGTGCACGTTTGTGCAAGCTTAATCCGAAACAAAAATATTTGGTTTATAATTGCAAGCGTGATCTCAGTTGATTTCTGACCATCGAGGCAGTGATAGTGTACTGTTGTGGAGCTCCTGATTTGTGTTTACGAGTATATGATGGATACGGAAACGCTTATCGATGTCGTGAGAAGAAGAAGTATTCAAAAAACTTATTAGGCAGTCAACGCAAATCGTTAAATATTCGTGCATACTCTCCATCTTCTTCTCTGTCTATAAAATACTCGTTAACCCACTCATCCCTGATTTCCTGCTCATCCAAAAATAAAAACTTTAAAACACCATTTTCCAAAACAATGTCCTCATCGTCTGACATCTCCATTTTGACTGACCTGTTTACAATAATTAACTTGCACCTGCTTACATTTAGTGTGAGCACATTGCTGTTCACACCAGCTTGCGCACGCGTGCGCCGCCAAAGTACTTGCACAAGCGTGCCTCTAATGTGATCGAAGCCTTAGAACACAATACAAGTTCATAAAGTTCTCAAAACAGTCACTTTCATGAAACTTAATTGACCGGTTAAATCACATACTTTGATTTTCTTTTACTATACGGAGAATGGTCGCAACTGCGCAGCTTTCTGAGTGCCTTTTAAAAGGAGATAGAAAACTCCGCTATTTTGATCCCTTATTACGTGTTGCCTATATCTTGGCGCAATATTTTTAATAGGTGCGTTTTAATCATCCGCTTCTGCTTCGGAACTGTCGGTTTTCTTATTTTAATCTGATAGGTTAAAACGACTAAACCGACAATTCCGGAAGCAGAAGCGGATGATTAAAACGCACCTGATATTTTGCTTGCTGCTGTCAGTGTCAGTGAATATTATTTTTGGAGTCACAGTTTATTGCTAAAGAATCAGTTAGCTCACTCGGACCAGTTGAAAGTTCCAAAATAATAGCGTTTTCGACTGGTTACACTCAGTTCACACTCGTGAAGTGCGAGTTTTCGTTGCTCAGCATTTGACCACCTAGTGCATTTTATTCTATTTGACAGCTAACATCTGAGTGATAAGTAGAAGTAGTACCTACCAAATTCCAAACAAGATCCAAGCCAAGCTTCCATTTTAAACATTTATTATATTGTTTAATATTTTATCAACAGATTAACATAAACTTACTTATGTTTGAGTTCTTAAGATGCCAAAGTATACTATACATATGCAGGACTTACAAAAATATTAATGGTACCTACCTGGGAGTCATCCAGGTGCGACACCAACGATTCAATGTAATCTTTAAAATTTTGGCAGTTTAGTTTTATTTCACTTGGCCTTAATTAAATCTTCTTCGTCTGAATCTGACGAAGAAGTTTCCAATATTTCTTTAAAAATTCTAAAAAAATTACATATTTAGAAACAACTCTACATTTGCCATCGCCATATTTGTTAGTACTGAACTGAAACTGAAAACCTCTCTCTACACTCGGTTCACAAGAGTGCGCACAGGTTTATTTTTTTGAGTTCAACTGATTCCAACCGAAAATTCAATAACTGACACGGCTCGCACTGCTCTTACGAGCCGAATACAAATTTTGCACCGAGTGTTAAAAAGTGCGCACCAGTTTTATCAGTCGAAAACGCTATGACATCCACTCCAGGGATACAAATTCAGGATACGCAGAAGACTGCTGTTTTATTATAGGCGGTTGTCATATATTGTATTATCCAAGTTGCGCAGTGTATAAACTGGAACATTGAGATCAAAAGTGCCGACGCAGAGTGAGCGATCTGATTCTTTAGCTATAAACTGTGGAATAGGAACCAAAATGGCCGCGCCCTATGTTGGGCGTGTCGGACCTCTCTCTTGCATCGTATAGTAATCAAAGTATGTGGGTTAAATAGTATTCTAAAAAAATATTTAGTTTACTCAGTTCCGAAAATTTTGTTTCTGATCTTTACAGGGTCGGCATGACTTCGAGAGTACGCAAACCAACCCGTTTAATATAAATAAATAATAAGAAACTTAACAAAATAGATAATTTCGTAAATTTTTTGGGTGGCCTGTTTTATCTGACGCGCAGATGTCACAGAACTGATACTTTAGTTGCCATAGGGACCGTGCGTCAAGACTTTAACGCTAACTGGTGAAAAAACTTTGAACTTTTTGGGGGGTATTTATTAATATTTTATATGGCATTTATTGTTTAATAATTATTAATTAAATAAAGTCGAATTATTTTCGTAATATCATTATCGAAAAAACTTGTTGCATCCGTGGATGTACGAACACATTACTTTGGAAACCTGGATTTCATTCAATAGTAAAGAAATTTTATAAATTTTCACAGAGCAGAATTAAGTGTCTCACGCCCAATGATATACATAATTACATTACATAGATTGCTTATCCATATGTAAATCAGATGACGAAAAGCGTATTTCACTGGGCAAAGTTTTTTTTTTATCTAGCTTTGTATCAATTTTGAGCACTTGAGCATTTACAGAACCGGTTTAGAAATTAGAGTCTTTAGTGTTTTATTGTCATTAAGATTTTTACATATTTAAATGAACATTTTACAGATAATTAATGGTTTATTCTGTTAATTAAAACTAATGTAGAATGTTACTATGAAATAAGTATGTCCAATTTGACAAAAATATCATAGCCCTCTTTACAATTTATTAACTATTTCTCATTTATTACTAAAATAAACAAATCATAAATAATACGTACATTACAAGTACTATCAAAAGAGACTGCAACAAACTTTAAAATATTAAAAATCCAGTGATTTTTGTAAATTTTTTTAATGACATTACCATTAAACATTATTCAGAACAATAGATGTGTCCAATTACAACTCTTACCAAAGTTGTTTATATCTCATATCAAAGTTGTTTACATTTCCTTTTCAAAATTGTATTACATATTGCAATTATGTATTTTATGTAGTGTAATTTCTGAAATGAGAGTAGTCTAAAATTATTTATATCCATCTGTTTTAAAAATTGTTTAGATCTCTTAATATTATTTAACAACATGGAACGTGTCTTGAAGTAAAACTTTAATTATTTTCTTTTTCTAAAGATTAAAATACTGAAATTTTATATTAAAACACATTTGGGCTAGAACGGCGCTATTTTAGTGAGCACTAGGAAAGGCACATTGCAACCCGCTTTTCGTAATTTTTTTATAGATGGGTGAGCAATCTATAATATGTGTATCATTGGGCGTCTCATAAACGTCAGTGGATGAATGACATTTTGACTAGCATAAATTTTTCCCAATCTTTTTTATTAATTTACATTTTTTAAATGTTATTGTAATACTTTTAAATTCAGTGTTATTAAATACCGATATTTTGACATTGGATACACTTGTTTAAGGTACAACTTTACAATTTATTGTCAATTAGCCATATAAATCTTTTTGCTTAAAATGTATATACATGTCCAGATTTTAATAATGTTTTACATTTTATATCATTTTGACCATGTACTCGATTGTTTGGTACGGGCCGGTATCTATATTTAACTATACTTAATATTTTAAAAATATTCTTTATTATTTACTTGCAATGTTTACCCCATTTAATTCTAAAATTAAACACTAGAGAGGGCTAACTTCGGCAGTAGTGCTGCCTCTATATTTCACGCACGGTCCCTAGTCACATTTTTATTAAATTTCTAGTTTTACCAGATCACTTAGGATATAGTTATTGCTGAATACTTTACATTCATTAATTGTTAATATTTTCTTACCTAAGATCAACGTTAGCTGTTGCTTCATCCAATATAAGAATTTTGTTGTTTCTTAAAGCTGCTCTAGCTAAGCATACTAGCTGTCTCTGCCCTAAGCTGAAATTAGCTCCTCCTCCAGCTACCAAGAACTCTAAAGAATCTACCGAATCTTTCAGTCCAACCTAAAAATTAAAAATGTACAATCTTGATGAGTGATTTTTAGCGAAAAACGAATACAAAATTTTAAATTTTCTAATTAGAAATATTGAGACGTTTCTTACCTGTTCCAACGCTTGCCATATCTGATTATCTTCGAATTCATCGAAAGGATCTAAGTTGTGTCTTAAAGTAGCTGAAAAAAGCACTGGTTCTTGTGGTATAATTGAAATACTTCTTCTCAAATCGTTCAAACCAAGTGTTCCAGTATCTACATCGTCTATAAATATGTAACCTTCCAGTGGTGCTAAACGGAATAATGCAGCTACTAGTGAAGATTTCCCAGCGCCTGTACGGCCAACAATACCAATCTTAAAAAGAAAATAAATTGAAATACTATTATGATCGAAAAATAATAAGGCATAGATCCCAAAATACTCGAGGGTTATCAAAACCCACCATACTTAATGTACTATATCAGTAGCCTACCGCGAGGCTACATTAACAAACCTATTTTATTTCATTTTTGGTATGTAGAATAAAAGACATACCTTCTGTCTTGGTTTTATGAAGAAATTGAGACTATTTAATACTGGTGGATCATCTTCAATGTACTTCAAAACTAAATTTTTAAACTCTATTCTACCATTTCTTGGCCAAGGCCTCCTTGGAATATTTTCTAGAATTTTAAAACAAATATAATTACTACTAGGTAAGTTTCCACCCTTCGAATCCTCGACTATTACTTGGGTCATTGGGTCAAGGGCAGCTCCAAGATTAATTTTCTTGGGGGAGAGCATTACTTTTAGCCATTCCCTTTTTAGCATATTTTTTTTAATAAAAGGCTCATAAATCGTATGAAGTTTCATCCCGGGGGAGAGAGGGGGTGGGCTAGCCCCCATAGCCTCCCCCTGGAGCTACCCTTGACTTGAGTCCTATTAAAAAACCGCCTAAAGCGAGGCAGTAACGATTTGAAGATTCATATCATAGATGATTAAATTAGAATTAAATAAATAGTAGAGAAACGGTTTAGTTATACCTTTGGCTGTCTCAAAAGGTCCTTCTTGATCAATTGTGGTGTACTGCAAAACTCTTTCTACACTGGTAAGTTGGTTGATAACTTCCGCCGTTTCACGCATTCCATATTGCAACATTCCCGTTAGAACCAATGACTGAGAAATGGCTAGACCAACCATACTACCACTCACATTATATACTAAAAACAATTATCATAAATATTACGGCAAATATATAAAAATAATAAAACAAAAAAATAACTATAGAGCATTATATTTAAAATACCAAGTGATGAATTTCTGCAGCTGAGGTTAAAATAAACCAGTTAACAGATGCAATCATTTTCATTTCTGCATTACACAACAATAAATCTATTATCATAACAACAATATTTTCTACAAGGTTCTTCATTTATATACCGTCTATAACTCCACAATTTTAGACGGAAGGAACCCTTAAGCAGGCAGCGATAATTTAAGACAGTGGTCGCCAACCTCTCAATGTGTTGAGCTACTTTGTTAGTTTTGGAATAAACAGCGAGCTACTCACACAGAAGCCACGTAACGCAACGTAAATGAAATAATCCACAGTTAATTTATCATTATATGTATTTATTTTACTATTTAACTGGTAATACATAATACATAGGTACTAATAATAAACTAATAACAAAATAACTAATATTACTAGTACGTACTTGTTCATAGCTACATTCCTACCTACCAAACGAACGTGTTTGAAAAATAAACACAAACTTTTATCCAGCCGCAACGGCATGTCACGTAAAATTTAAAAATAGTTAATAATAACAACAAAAAAGTAACGCACTATCATGAACATAAACATTGAAAAATAAAAAAGCACGTTCAATGAGAAGGCTGACACTCAGACGCATTGATAATTTTTTTAATGTTTGCAGTATAATTTGATACAGCCATTCGAATACAATTATCCAAATGTTCATCTGTAAGTCGATTGCGATATTTGTTCTTAATAAACTTCATATTGGAAAAAGAAGTTTCACACAAATAGGTTGAACTGAATAATGCTTTCACTTTCAAGGCAACCCGGCATAGAACTGAATATTTGTCTTTACTTACAATAGGCCAGATACATTTGGTACTTGAGACTAACGATTTTAAGGCTAAATCATTTTGAAACTCAATTACTTCCGTTTCTGTTGCAGCGATGTCTTCGCCAAAGTTCTGCATAACACAAGTTGCAAACTGTTGGATATCAATTTCCATAAAGGGTGAAACAACAAACTGCGCTACTAAAGCCATTTCGACGAAATCCTTAAAACGATTTTTGAAGTTATTCTTCAGGGTAGAAACTATTTCTACATGATATTTGCTGTCATAGGGTTCTAATGGATTTTAAGATTTTTTTTCTGAAAGAATAGGAAAATGCTTGGCATCGCTGTTAATTAGGTTTTGTTCCCAAAACTCCAGCTTTTTGATAAATGCTTTTATATCAGAAATCATTTCCGCTAGTTCTTTGTCTCTCCCTTGAAGCTGCAAATTAAGTTCGTTTAATTTCTCTGTAATGTCCACGAGAAAACCAAAATCTCTAGGCCAAATTGAATTTTCTAGTTCCGGAGTCGGTTCATCGCGTTGTTTGAAAAATTGAACTATGCCAGATAGGACATCATTAAAACGTTTCAGCACCCGTCCTCTACTTAACCATCGGACTTTAGAGTGAAGGAGTAGATCCCCGTATTGACAGTCATCTTCATCGGCCAAGGTTTTAAATAATCTTCTTTGTAACGCTTGAGCTCTAATCTTGTTCACAATTTTTACCACCAGTTTCATAACGTTGTTTAGTTTCAGGAAATTTCCACATATTGCTTGCTGATGGATAATGCAGTGGTAACAGAGAAATTTCGGAAAAGTTTCATCTTTACGACATAACGCCACCAGACCCTTATCACAATCCACCATAGCTGGAGCGCCATCGGTTGTCAAGCCTACCATTTTCGATATTGGAATTTTCTCGGAAGAAATTATATTTTTTAAATAAGAAAACAACTCCTGTCCAGTAGTGTGTCCTTTCAGTGGAATAAACTTCAAAAGATCTTCTTTAATCGTAAAATCACTAAAAACCATCCTGACGAACACGGCCATCTGGGCAGTGTCAACGACATCTGTTGATTAATCCAGTTGAAGTGAAAAATAAACACAGTTATCTAAGTCAGTTCTTAACTGTAAAAAATTATTATTGATCATTACTTCTACACGTCTCATCACTGTATTAGCAGAAAGTTGCATAGATTTTATAGCTGAAACTATCTCGTCTTTATTTCTAAAGTTGGCAAATAACGAATCAGCAGCTTCTAAAAACGCCTGTTTTATCATTTCCCCGTCTTCATAAGGTGTTTTTTTGTGCAATTATCTGGGACACACGGTACGATGCTTCAGTTGCAGCCTTATTTTTATCGACTATTCTTAAAAATATTGATTGTTGTCCAATTAACTGCTTTTTTAACTGTTTCAGTTTCTCCTTTCTGGCGGCAGAATGTAGTGGGAATGATTTTTCAAAATTAGAATGTACAGTTTTATGATGTCTCTCAATATTTCCTTTTTTAGCAATGGAGACCGAAGTATTACATAACAAACACGCATTTTTATCTTTAACTTCTGTAAAAAAGTATTGTTCTTCCCATTCCGAATGAAAGTGGTATGTCTTTACCTTCTTACAACTGCTTGCCATAATATTATTTTTTGTTGTTATCTACTAACCCAACCGCTGGACGTTGGTTACGCGTTCAGTTTTAAACTAAGCGCAATGTCGCAGCGCCGTGCGCAGGGTTGCCAACTTTTCAAATTCCATTTACCGTACCGCGCAATTCAAATTACCGTACATGGCCTGCCAGTGCCGTACTTTTATTTTGGTCCTCATCATATTATTTTAATCATCGTCTGGTCCTTTTACCTAGCTTCTAAAAAAAGGCCTTATATTAGCTTATATTTTTGTATTTTTGTACAGACTAGGTCCTTTTGAAGTTTTTAAGAACATCTGCTGCATTTTTACATTGGACAATGTCATTCTAATCTTTATTAGGTAATTTAATGGAGTCGGTCCTTCTTGCACAACTCAGTCTTTGCTAATTCTGTTGAAAATACCGTACGTATACCGTACTTTTTATGTAAATACCGTACTTTTATGTACGGTAATGACTTTGGACCATATATCGTACATTAATTGAAATTACCGTACAAGTACGGTAATTACCGTACGATTGGCAACCCTGGCCGTGCGTATTTATCCCGTTCAAAGCAATCCTGATCGTTCTCGAACACTAACGCGCTGGTCCGGCTGGTCGGTTCTAGCCGATTTTAGCTTGATGGCGTCAGCGGCAGATCGCTCACCGAAACGTTGCCGCTGTATATGTTTAATATTATGACAATTAGATTTTTTGTGGAATTTTCGGAAGCTTCTCTGATTTTTGCAGTTTGTATTTTTAAATTAAAATCGTTGTAAGAGCTACCAGAATTGCCTCCGCGAGCTACCGGTAGCTCGCGATCGACAGGTTGGCGACCACTGATTTAAGAAAAAGCATCACCGACCTACTACATGGTGAATTAAAGAGACAACCGATAATTTAAATTGTATTGCTTTTAACTATTTTTGCAGACAGTCTTGGGACAGTTAGGAACTAAATTGAACGATACGTACAATGACAAATACAAAATATATTTTTAGAATGCGAACTAGTAGAAATTTTATTAACAGTTTTATACATAGACATAATTTTGACGTAATGGCATATTTTTTTTTAGATACTAAATTTTTATATTAATTACATTTTTACCAGAAAAATAAATACATTTTTTCATGGATGAATATTGAAACCTTAATAATGATGAAAAATAATTGTTTGATTAAAATCCATGATCTAATAGCCCACTTAATAATTATTTTTTGTAGACATTAATTAATTTTAGGTTAAATTAATTTTGCTCAAAATGCGCTATACCACTGTTCAATAGATGTTTTTCATTTATTTCTGGTAATAACAAGTATGAAAACGCATACGAAATTTAGAAAATAAAATAACAGAGAATTCAGTACGCCTATGCGTATCGGGCGGTTTTTGTTAACATATTTAATTCATAGTAGATAAAGATACACTAATTTTTTAAAACCATTGTGGAATATGTTTCGCATGAGATAAAAAAAAAATAAAAAATGAAAAAATGTTACAGGGTTACACTTCTAACGCATACACTTAGACTATGTGTACATACAGTCTGTTCGCTATACTTACGCGGGTTTCGGATTAAAATTTTTATGAGTATTTCCAGGTAAGTACCCGAAAGTTTGACCTTTTCTTTGGGAAAATATCAACTGGTTAAATGAAATGAAAAATAATGTACAACTTTTTAATTAAATAATAATGGAGAATCTTTTGTATAATTGAGAGCAGAATTAAACTTCTTCATTAATGGAGTATAATGTGGCTATTATAAACCTAATAATAATTTTATATTACACTTCGCACAGAAAATATGGTCTATGTATAATAAGAGATTTATTTAGCTCAAATAAAATACTTTCTAACATAAAAATTTGTTCCATGTAGAGAATTTCAAATGAAAAATAAAAAAATTGAACTTGTCAACAAAAATGAAAATCAGTCATTATCATCCAAAATATCATAATCGTCATCATCATCATCACGGTCATCACCATTAATTGTTATTATGATTGGACTTATTTCGTTTATTTTATTTTCACGAGTCCACCAATCTTCTATTAGTTTCTCGCACTTGGATATACAGTTCCGCCACACTTCTGGAGTTGCAATTAAAAGTGCTTTTCGCCAAGTTTCCCGAACTGCGTTGTCACTATAACCATTTGGTCCAATATGGTTGTCATAATATTGTTTTGCTATTCCCCATATACAGTGTGTCCATGGATGGGGTCCCCAAGGGGGAAAAATCTTTATTATTCATTTTACGACCAAAAGTCATTCTTTATAAAAAGTTCTGCTTGTTGAGGAAATGGAGTTGCCTTATAAAAATTTTAGATTAAATGTACAGGGTGTTAATAAATTAGGAAAATATGAAAATGCTTCAGGAGGAAAGTACCATTATTTATTATTTTTAACAAAAATTTTATAAAACAAAGTTGTTTATAAACTAGCATAGAGACTAAATACAAATTTTTAAATAAAAATTCCAATATTTTAAAATAGAATATTAATAATTATTACTTTCATGTAATAATTTGCATTTTACTAAAAAAATCAAGATAGCCGATTTTGTATACGTTCATGTTATGTCAGCATTTTATTTACATCTGTCAGTATTTTTGACAACTTTGTTTTATACAATTTTTGTTAAAAATAATAAATAATGGTACTTCCCTCTTGAAGCATGTTCATATTTTCCTAATTTATTAACACCCTGTACATTTAATCTAAAATTTTTATAAGGCAACTCCATTTTCTCAACAAGCAGAACTTTTTATAAAGAATGACTTTTGGTCGTAAAATGAATAATAAAGATTTTTCCCCCTTGGGGACCCCATTCATGGACACACCATATATTCGATGGGATTATACTGGCAATGATACAATGATAGTCACTGGATTTTGATTTAGATAAAAATATTAAATCAGCACCTTCTATAAAACCCGATTTCCCTCCTGCATGTAAAATTATGTGTCGCTTCCCTTCTCCATCGGTATGTTTGATGGACTTTACGTTATCATTTTGCCATATTCTCTTGGTTGCACCTCTAGAATATATCATTGTTTTGTCTAAATATATAAAATTCGCCAAATCTTCTTTAAATTTTGAATATTTTCTTAGAAAGTTAATTCTCTTGTGCACGACATAACTTCTTTCATAAAAGGCCTTTCTGTTATCCTCCTTTTGAAATTTGAAACCCAAGTTATCTATCACTTGCCACAGACTTGTTCTGCCAATGTCGTCAAATTTTCTATCTATTAATTCCGAGAGAATTGTATTTAAGGTCACATGTTCCTTGTTGATCCTCATTCGATAAATGGTATCACGAATTTCAAATTTCTTTTCATCTGGAATATCTTTTGTTTTCAATGATGGGCGAGTTTCGCGGTGATCTTCTTTCGGCAGTTCACTATTGTGATTTTGTAATACTTCTCTTAATTTGGTTTCATTAATTTCTAGAGCATCGCATACGCGTTGTTGTACAGACATTACCGATTTTAAAGGACCGCCATTTTCTTTTTCATCCGTAAAATACTTATGTACACTACAAATTAGACTATCTACATCTAACACACGTCTAGGCATTTTTAAAATGTCCACTAAATTTACAATATACATACAATGTCAACACTTGCAAAGAATCAATTCAACTGCAATATTGTAACAAATTTAGTACCTACCCTAATGTTATTTTTATTTAAATCTGACCATTAGGACAATTTTACCTAATTTCTTGGGAAGAGGCTTATCGGAACTAGTTGTCAATGACTAATTTGCATAATTTTATTAATCCGAAACCCGTGTAAGTATAGCGAACAGATTGTAGTAGCTTTTTCTCCATTGGATACCTATAAAGAAGATATTGGGATGATTAAAAACACAATCTCACCTTTTTAATGAACAATTAAATGAAAATGCAAGCTAATTTAGCTGGGTACTTACAGAAAATAAAGCTAAATATGACAGTAGCTGCGAATATTAAGCATATCAAGTCGAGCCATAATCCAAACGAGAACATACAAGATAGAGTCAGATACCATGCTGAGGTATGAACATCCTACGAAAGTAAACTATAACAAAAAGTAATAAAAAATATTAAAAATTTTACCTGATGATTGTCAAATTCCACTGTTAAAATATTTTGTGCGTTTAATGCTCTGATGGTCACTATTCCGTTTTTGGTTGAGTTAACATGTGAAAAAACTGGCGATTTTGCTGAAAATAGTAACGAAAAATAGTTGTAAATAGCAATCCTGTCTCTAAAATATGAAATGCGTAAATAACAATATATTTTTTTTATTAAAAAAAAAAAATGTTATCGAAAAGATAACAAAGTAGACTCAGGTTTTGTTAAAAAACTTATTAAATACATTCAGTTTTTTAGACATTTTTCAATATCAATCCTTTAAAAAAACAGTTTTGAAACTTTACCATGACAGGGCTAGTATATAAATATCGAATTTCATATTATACTCCTATGCAAGTCAACTTACTAATTCCTTCTAGATGTTTGAGAGCTTTAGCTGTCAAAATATACCATCCTCGAAGTTTGAAAAATATTGTCCCTAAAATAACCATAGCGATGATCATATACTGATTAGATATTGAAACGTTAATCAAAATTCCAGCCATTACTAATACAATCTAAAACAAAAAAAATATTTTATACATTTTTATATACAATTATTATTATTATTATTGCATAAACAAAAGTTCTACTGAATAATTTATTTATTTATTTTATTTATTTAGTACACCACTCAACAGTTAAAAACCAATTACAGAGTGGGATGAACATAAATTAAAAACAAATATTAATGATATACATCACAAACGAGTTAAGAACATCAGATATGACTGAACATGAAACAAATAAAAAGTACAATAAAGCCTATTTTTAAGGAAAACTGAAGGTAAAATATTCAGTTATATTTAAGTTCTTAAAGGAGCATAAAACAAATTTTAAAAAATTAAATTAAAATAAAGTAAATACACACAAAAGATATATTATCAACTTACTAAGCAGGATAAACACCTACTCAGTTTCTATGGTAATAGCTCTAAAAATATCTATTTTCTTACAACTAAAAATATCCAAACTGTCTTGAAAGCGATGATAATTATTGATCATTTGAAAAATTGGAGAACCGTTCAAAATATTTGTATTTGCAGCTGACAAGTAAAAGCTTAAGTATATTCTAAGGCCAGGGCGGGGTACTTTAATGTTGATATAATCCTGAAACTCAATGCAGTTTAGCCCTTCATGTAAAATATCCCATAGGAATGAAACTAGCTGCATTTTACGGCGTATGTGCAGTTCCATTAACCAAAGCGCGACAATAGTTAATTATGAGGAAATCCTCTAGCAAGATAGATATTGTCTAGATTCTAGACAATATGATGCGGACTTCATAAATTTTCTTTGCACATTTTCAATAGTGCTACTATAAATGTGATGGATTCCATACAACTGACGCATACTCAAGTCTAGATCTAACAAAACTAATGTATAATAACTTCATTGTACTTCATTTTGTAGAGTAAAAGCAAATTTTCCTCTTGAACCTGGTAATCTAACAATATTAAAATAAGTATATTTCTAATAATATTCATTCTTCACACTGTAGGATATTTGCCAGCGACTACAAATACTGACGTGTGTAGGAGAACATTAGATGCTTTTGCGACTTAGTAGCAACTACCCGGTAGCAGCTAAAAACGACTAGCAAATTTGTAGGAAAACGTACCTTTAGATTTTAATTTTTGTAATAGGATTTGATGATCAATTCTATCGAATGCCTTAGAAAAGTCGGTATAGATAACATCGACCTGACTTCTTCTATCTAAAGCCTCTGCCAAAAATTGTGTTTTGCACACAAGATTCGACACAGTGGACCTACCCTTCATAAATCCGTGTTGGTATTGCGATAATGAACCCGAAAGATGTCTAGATAAGTATGTATAAATAATGATTTCAAATACTTTGGAGAAATTACAAACAGGTCTATAGTTGTCAAGATCATCTTTGGTTCCCTTTTTATAAACTGGTGTAACGCGAGATAATTTCCATAGATCAGGAAACATGGCTGTTTTCAATATTAAATTAAAAATAGTACACAGTGGGGTTGAAAGAATGTGTGCGCAATCTTTAATGAAGAAGGAAGGAATATAATCAGGTCCCATTGTCATTTTTGGCTTTAATCTTTTTATAGCGTCTACCACTTCTTTATCAGATACATGATTTATAGATAAAATAGGTAAATTAACAGAAGTTGATTGAACAGATGCGATAGTACGTGTTGGTGATGTAAAATTGTTTGAAAAATGCTCTGCAAATGCCTGCATATTATCTAATGGATTATCCAATACATCATTATTAATTTGTACTGAAGATGGAAAGCTTAAGGAGTTCTTAAAAGAGTTTATGTATGTCCAAAATTTTTGAGGGTTTTCCTGAATATTATTTTCCATTCTTTCAGCATATTGAGAATGTGCAAGCTTAACTTGTCTATTAACATTAGTACGTGCGGATTTGAATGTATTTAAAGCCTCAAGAGAACTTGTAGACTTAAACCGACAATGAGCTTTATCTTTTTATTTGATCATTTTGATAATAGACCCATTAAATCATGGAGGATACATTTTATTACTAGCTTTTTTTTTGAACATATCGTGAAAATAATTCATATAGTTTTTTATTTAGTTTTTTTACACCGTCATTCACATCAGTTATATTATTTAAAAACTTCCAATCGATAGATTGGAGGTCAAAGTAGAGAGTCGCGTAATTGGCTTTTTCAAAATTAAATTCTACTGAAGAAGAATTATTAGTTCCATTATTTATTTTTTTATATTGTGATATATTTAATTTGAGTGCTGGATGATAATATTATTCATGCAAAATAGTTTTTAAAAAACAGAATCAGTTTTATTTTCTTCATCATTAAAGAACATTTTATTTCTCGGAATTGACTATATTGTGTCATGATTTGTATCTTTTCCTACCATTTCATATTATTTGATTTCTCCATTGATTCCTGGCTAACGGCATTTATTATAATGTTTATCTTATTTACCCTAGATAAATTTAACCCGTTACCATATATACGCTCCTGTTAATTCAGGACTTATATGATAATGCATACAATCACTTGTTTGGAAAAACGTTGAAGAATGTTGGGAAAATAATAGTTATTTGTAATACGGTTACTATTAGATGTCTCTTGAATAAATAATCACAGTTAAATTAAATGTTTGCAAAACTTTTGGATAACCTAATTTGGATTTTAAGGGGAAGCTGATGACTTAATATTTTTTATTTATACTAATAATTTTCAATATTTTTACATTCCTAGTGTTATAAATTCAATTTGACATACTTATCATTTTATATTATAAGATATTGTTGATTTTATGTGTTTACCTGAACAGCATTTAGTAATACCCTTGGCAAAGTTTCATCTATAGCTCCAATATCTTTCGAAAATCTATTAAGAACTCGTCCACTTGCATTGGTATCAAAAAATCTCATCGGGGCTTTCAACAATGAATGAAACATTTTGGAGTGCAAATTTTTCGATGACATCATGCACATTTTGAAAAATAAAAACGATCTTCCTGTGGTCAACAGAATGGCAACTAGTATCAACCCTCCGTAAACGTACATAGCATAATATGTTTTAATTAGTCTATGATTTTCATTATCGATTGTTATATGATCAAAAATGCCATCAGGTGAAGAAGTGAATGCGGATGTATTCTTTTGAACTTGATGAGTATAAGTGTACATATGACGAGGGTGAATTGAATCTCCCAACATGTATACTTGAACTGTTTCAGTTACTGGTGGGTCTAATGTGGAATTTAGTAAAGTAGAGTTACTTTTAAAATGTCGTAACTCTTCTTGTGTAGTCCTAAAAATAAAAAGTGAAAATTATTATTAAAAATACTCAAAATATTATGAGAACGTAACCATCAAATGGGTTAAAAATTGAGAGATTACCATTTTTAACCAAAGAAGTGATTCGGTTGCATTTCGGCATAGTATTTAACAGGAAAACCAGTAGATTATTGGATTAAAAAGATATTTGTAATTATTTTAAAAGTAATGCTCACCAAAATGCTACCCACAAATCAGCACCTGCGCATAAACTTTGGGCTAAAACCATTATCATAATCAATAAAGAAAGAAGGCATATATTATTAGTGGCTAAGAGATATTTCCTAAAGGCTTGTGGATTTGTATCTTTTCCTGAATCTTCTTCTTCAATATTCTGAGATTCTTGTACGTAATCAATGGTATCAGATTTGCTATCCTAAAATATAATACATATAATATAAATAAATATGTTTGGACCAAATGAAAAACTATTTACCAAAGAAATAGAAGTTCGTCTACTTGAAATGGTTAACATAAATTCGGAGAACCCAGACTCTTGCTCTTGTTTTTCGTGTGTTTCGTCTGCAGCTGCTAATAATTTAGTAAAATCCAATTTAGAATTGGAGAGTTGTTCAAAGGTACCTTGAGCTTCAATTGTTCCCTAAATATACATTTAAAACATGAATTGAATAAAATGGTCCCAAATCAAACAAAAACACGTAATACAATTTAATACTGATTTACCTTATTTACAACAATAATCAAATTAGCTTGTTTCAGATATTGTAACTGATGCGTTACTAAAATTCTTATCTTTCCTTTCAGGTGTCTATTGATGCATTCTTTAAACAGTTGTTTTCCAACGTGGGTATCTACAGCAGATAAGGGATCATCGAATAAATAAATATCTGCTTGTCTATAAACAGCTCTAGCAAGATTGATCCTTGCTCTTTGTCCTCCACTTATGGAAACTCCTCGTTCGCCCACAACTGTTTTATCTCCTAAAGGAAACTGTTCAAAATCCCTTTCCAATGCACACACTTTAACCACTTTTTCATAGAAAAACTTATCGTATTTTCTTCCAAATAGGATATTGTTTCGCACTGTTGATTGGAAAAGCCACGGTTCTTGTGAACAATATGAAATTTCACCACCTATTTGAATTTTTCCAGATTTCGAGGGTAATTCTCCAAGCAGAATCTAAAAAAAATATAATAAATAAAGATTATTATCATCATTTTTTGAAAAATAATCTTGGCAACGAAAGATAGTCAGTTGTCTTTAAAATAAACATCACTTGCTTTAAATGTTTTTGGTATAAATTGAATAACACATTGTTCCGAAGAAATTCTGTAATTAGAATCTATCTAAACGGCCTAGTATAATAAATTACACATTAAAAGTCCTTGAACAAAGAGAAGAGGGATATATTAACCTGCAACAACGACGATTTTCCTGCACCTACAGGTCCAACAATAGCGCACAGAGTTCCTGGTGGTATTGTCAAAGAAATGTCCGTTAAAGTCGTTATAGACTCTTCCCAAGACGCATTTACACTACTAAGTACAACACCTTTCTTTTTCGTCTTTTCTATGTTAGGTTGTTGCCTTTCTTCTAACATCAAAAATTCTTGTAGCCTCTTAACTGAAATCCATGCTTCCGCTCCATGGCTAATGGCCATCGGAAACCATATAGCCATGGCAGCTTGTAGAAGATTATATGATTGAGCCAATGAGAATACTGTGCTCGCGGTAATATTGTTTCCTGTAAATGAAATGAACAGTTCAGTTATTTGTTACCGTTACCATGACTGCTATTTTGATTATTCTCCTAACAAATATACCCTTACCAAAGACATTACAACATGCCCATGACTTACCAAGTAAAACGTAACAAATTACAGTGACAGCTAATGCAGTTCTATCTAGAAATACCATACAGCTTGCGAAAATTCCTCTTAAATATGACGTACTCGTGATATCTTTAATTTCATTTTCTCTTGCCAATTCAACAATTTTTTCGAATGGTTTTTCCCAAACGTACATTTTGATGACTTGTATTCCAGAAATTATTTCGTTCATCAGTTTTACTCTTGCGTCTGACTTTTTTGATATGCTTGAACGAAATTTTCCGATATATTTTCCAAGATAAACTAAAAAATAGTGTGTATGAAATTAAATAGATTTAATAAGTCTCAATTCAAAATTTTTCTTAATTAAACAAATGGTATAGAAGGGCCACATTATTATTATTTAATTGGTGGTTATATTTTGTTTTGTTATAATAAGGGTAAAGCTTTTAGAAAAATTGATATATTCGTAAAATATTGTCACCTAGTGACATTTAAAATGTCTTTTAAATAGTACTATTTTCTCCTATCCTTTAGTGGAAGTTATATGCAGTAGTAAGACCAGAAACTAAAGGTAAATCTAAATTAGCTTTATAAACTTTTAAAATTCTAATGATATCCTAGAAAGGCAACAATTGGCAGTTTTAATAATTTGTTACCGTTACCATGAGTATTAGAATCTGGATCCGCAATAGAAGGCTTCTGTATACTGTCCAAAAGATCGGAGAATTGGGAAACCTATAAGACTTACCGGATAGAATATGGTTATGCCATTAGGAACCTCAAAGAAAATTCCTGGAATAAATTCTGCATCGAAAGCATTCCAGAATGTTCTAGATTCAGGAAAACTCTACAGAGAGATAAACAAGGATGCATAGAATCTCTGAAAAATCAGCACTAAATTCACACTTTCCTGGATGTGAGATTATTCTTGAACAAGCCTAGAGCTTCAGTACGAGTTGGCTTTGAACCAAACCCTTTTATGGGTAGAAAGATATATTTTGAAAGAAGTAAAGGAAATATCCGTTTCGTGTATAGCTTTTGACGAGAAAAATTTCAACTTTAAAGTCAAAATTTAGAGAATAAATTTGAAATTCTGAATTTTAAGTCGAGCTTCAGTACGAGTTGGCTTTGAACCAAACCCTTTTATAGGTAGAAAGATATATTTTGAAAGAAGTAAAGGAAATATCCGTTTCGTGTATAGCTTTTGACGAGAAAAATTTCAACTTTAAAGTCAAAATTTAGAGAATAAATTTGAAATTCTGAATTTTAAGTCGAAATTTCGAGTTTATAGTGTAATTTTCGAGATCAAAGTCGAAAAATAAAATATCATCTGGTTCAATTATATCATATATTTTCCGAATTTTAAAGAACAACTAGATTAGTCCTTACCTTGTAAGGGTACACTAAAACTGACTACAGTTACGATACCAGCTACCGCGGATATACCAACTTCGGTCCAAATAAACCAAGATAGTAGACCTACTTGGAACGGTAATACCCATAAAGCGTGCAGTGGAATTGTGACCAAATCAAATCGATTCACATCGTTTGCTAACAAATTCACTATTTGACCAGTTGTTGTTTGTCCCAGTGACTTTTGGTTTAGTCTGATCAGCTGAAAAAATCTTACTTTACAATAATTAAAAAGATATTTTACAAATCCATTAAAAGTTAAGTACAGTAAACGCCAAATCTAAAGAACCAGCGCAAATGCTCAAGTTCGTTTACTTAAAACTCGCCACGCCCATTCACAATTTGAACCTTACGGTCAGTAACGTAACGACTAGATCATTGTTTGCTTCTTGTTTCTGTGTTTTGGTTAAAGTGACTGATTTTACTTTTTATAATGTCTTCTATTGTGGGTGGAAAAAAAAGTCGTGAAGTAATATACAATGTTTTTAAATATTTTGACGCAACAAAAAAGGAAGGAGTTACTTTAGATGATATCAAACTTCAAACTGCACAAGTAACAGGTAAACATACTCTGTAGTTTATTTGCAATTAAACTTGCGTAGTTTTCCATATTTTTTTGTATTTTACACACATATCTATGAACAAGTATCATTCATTATTTTCGCGTCCCTGGTTTACAACTTTCTAGGTAAGCTACCAATTCTATTCATCGGTAGGCGTGTTCGTAGCATTATAAATGCGCGTCCTTGGTTCTTTAGATTTGGCGTTTACTATATTAGTGTTGAAAATTACAATTTAACAAAGGATGTTAAAAAACTGCTACCGAAGAAATTGTCACTTTTTTATTTTATTCGAAGAATTATACAATCATTTCTAAATCTTCTCACAAAATAAAATTTTATAAAAAATAACTATTTTTCCACCAAATTGATCTAGTTTCTACCTTTCTATATACTAGGGACGAAGCTGCAATCCTAATCCTCATACCAATAATTGCTAGTCCAAAGTTTGTGTGATGGGTTATAAACATGCCGCAACCTGTTACACCAACTAGCAAAACGCCGTAAATATCCTTATCTAGTTGTTCGTCTGTGCCCTTATAAGTTTCTGAGAAACAGGAGATCAGTTTTGCTAAAATTATCGGCTGGGCGCAGCTGAAAAGACAGAAAAAATAGTATATTGGAACTTTTTATATCACACATTACGTATTATACTTTTACAATAATTTATATAGCTTCTCGAACCTTCTAGAACTGTCCAGATTTTTCTTGACGTACACAGGAAAATATGGGTGTAAATAATTATATAATATCCTGTTCGGTTTGTTTAATGTTTACAATTACAAATATTATCACTATATACATACATACAGTGGTTCATACGGTAGATTTCATTTTATTAATTCTAGCTCTAGGAAGATAATAGTAGTTTGTACAACAAGAGAGGATATGATGGCCATATCGAAGAAAGACAAACTTTGAGCACGACATACTATGTGACTGTAGATCTTTTCCTGATGAAAACATGCTGCTTTGATGTAATTCAGTTGTTTAATTTTGGAGAGACCCTAATTCGTAGACACCTCAAAAGCTGTTACAAAATTCGATAATAACTTGACTGGTCTACAGTTTGAAATATCGTTAATAGCTCCTGCTACGTTCAATGGATATATTTGTGTTATTTGGAGAGTGACGAAAATTAGTGAAATTTTGAATAGTAGCTCAAAGGACCACGCACTTTTCTTATGCAAACGGGAGTACCGTCAAAATGTCTGAATTTTTGATATGTTAAATAACTTGATGTCCCCATAAAAAGTGTCCATAGGCCCAATCGTATCCTATAATTAGATTTTGAAATACAGGGTGTTGAAGTTAGAAATCCCTAATTCTTTAAAATGGACACCATAAATCACCCTTAAATATATTTGAAAGTTATTTGCTCATTCTGTATAGTCAAAATACATACTTAACTACTATAATTAAAATATTGTCCCTTACAGGGTGATTAATGATTCGGCAGATCTTTTTTGGTCAAAGTAGGTATTTCCACCGAACAAAAATAGCTGAAATACCGAAAAAAAAAATATATCACCGTCAAAGTTTCTCAATATTTGATATCGTATAGTACTCGATGTACTCGTTCAAAATTCTTTTTGGTAAAATTAGATACTATGACTAGTTTTCCAAATATAACCTAATATATACCAAATATATGAATTTTAAACAATAAATATACTGATATAAGTAGATATGTTTCAGAGAAATACTGTATATTAGATAATTTGACACACTGTGTTGGATTAGACATATACCCCTTGTACTATTTGAGGACAGCCAAAATTATTTCGTAGTTACAGGGTGATTGCGTTTGAATATGTAAGGTAAAAAAATCATCAAAATGTTGAAATTGTTGGCAAAAAATAGAAAATAATTGCCTTTTAACTTTGGAGTTGTTTATCAAAAAAATCTTATTAGTTCACATACAGAGTCATACATTATTTCATTACAAAAAAAGTTCGTTATTCGGTAGGTCTAAGTAGGATTTAGGGAAATGAATAACGATCGGATTAAATGTTTATTTTGACTGGAGCATGTAAATTAATCATTAGAAAACTTGAAGATTTAGATCAGCTGTACTTAACCTTTTTTTCTTTCGCGCCACATAAATCTGTTTGTTATGTTACACGGGCTACAATATTTTTGGGTGATAACTAAAGTTGCCACCTTTTTGAAATGCAAATAAAGGACAATGGGTGAAGATAGGGATCCGCTTTAAATATTTTCTAAAAAGAAAAGGTCCTCATGTTGTTTTAATACAGGACTGTAGCTCAACCAATTCAGTTACTAATAATCGTGTTTGGGGCTGCACAAAAAGCTTGGAAGGCCGCACAGAATAGCTTGGAGAGCCGCATGAGGCCCGCGGGCTGCAGGTTAAGTATGGCTGATTTAGATGAATGTCACAAAAATCTTCAAATATTTGGGTACATAAATATTTGAAACTAAAAAAATATTTGTTCTGCATACTACCGATAGTTTTCTTACATTTACTTGTGCGTTACAAATTATACAACCACGAACTGAGTGAGGTGTTAAAACATTAAGTCTTAGGCAATTTGGATCATTTTTAATATTTCTAAGTTCCTTGTAATTGCGTGATAACAGTTTAAACCTAATCTTACTTCTTGTAGATTTATCGATTGCAGGATGTCCGGCAGCTTGTTTTCTTAAATTAGCAACGTTAAGAACATTTATATTATTGTCTTTGTTTGAACGAATAGTGAGTCGAAGTTGAAAGTGTCTATTGCAAACATAACAGCTTATCCTATTTGCAAACGCCATACTTGCAACAATATTTATTTAAAACACTAATACAGAAATTAGATCGTTCACTTAAAGTAATACAAACGTCATTTATTATAAAAGTCAGCAATAGATGGATGTTCAATTATTCGGAAAATATTTAATCATGAATATATAAATCAAGTGTACGCATGTTTATATATATATAGGTTTTTGGCATATTCACCACTTTTTAGAATTTACTAATAAAAATCTATCAATCGTCTAAAAGTCATAGGTTACAAAATATACAGGGTAATCAATTTTTATGAAAATCTTCGGAAAAATTATATATTATCACAGTAGATATAAAAAAGCAAAACTTCAGGCATGCAGTCTTAAGCTTTATATTTTATCATTACGAATATACATGGTGATTCTTAACACGGTACCAGACCAAAACCGATTTAAAATGCCTTGGTTGTGTCGATTACAACAAGATATAACACTTTACGTCTGATGTGAAAAATCATATTGTTTTGAGAAGCCCTTGAAAAATCAAGAGAGGAACAGGTAAGTTGTAAACTATAAAAATATCAACAATTGTTTCGTGAAAATTAGAATAATATAGCTGCTCGACTTATTTTAAATATTTGAGTGACCAATAACATGAAACTACTATTTCTTATATGAATGTGTACCAATAAGTAGATATGACATTTATACTTCATTCTGTGCCTAACTATTACTCAATGGATTTCATAGAAGAAAACTCGCAATGAATAAGAAGACAGTTAAGAAGTTGATAATTTCTCAGATTTTTCTGATCATTGACTACTTTATTCTGAGGATCCATTAAATGTTTTTAATTTATAGTTATTAAAAAACTATGTTAGTTGGACAAAGTTTATTATTGCCTATTTAAAATATTAATGTATGTATATTTGTAATCTTTTTTCAATAAAGAACTCACAAGCAATTTATTTTCTAATATTTGGCAATAATTTTATATATTGTTGATTTTTTCACCTTGCAAGTTCAACTGTAACCATCTTTTAGGGGATGCAACTTAAAACAAAATGTATTGGGGGCTTTACCTCATTGGTGGCGTGGAATGGAGCTTATAATCTTATTTAAATATACAATACAAATAGGCACTTACGACAATACTCAAGCCAAATAAACCTGTAATCCGATGATAATTTTTCTACATCCTACTTAGACCTACCATATAATCAACTTCTTTGTACCTGAATAAAGTATGACCCTGTATGTGGACTTATAATATTTTTTTAATGAACAACTCACAAGGTAATTATTTTCTATTCTTTGGCAACAATTTCAACATTTTGTTGACTTTTTTATCTTACATTCAACCGCAATCACCCTGTAAGTACGAAATTTTTGTCTATTTCCAAATAATACAAGGGTTATATTCCTAATCTAAACACAGTGTGTCAAAATATTTATTATAAGATATTTCTTTTGAAAATATCTACTTATGTCAGTATATATTTATTGTTTAAAATTCATTTATTTGTTATCTACTTGTTATATTTTGTGAACCAATAGAACAATATTGTGGTAACATAAGAAGCATTGCTCGAAAAGCTTTACTTGCTTTCCTTGTTAAACTAAGACATGGATTGTCAGATGAGTTCCCAATCTGATATAAATATACATAAAGAGGCAATATAAAGAGCTAATGCTCCGGTCAAAATAAACATGTAATCCGATCATTATTCATTTCCCTAAATCCTACTTAGACCTACCGTATAACGAACTTTTTTTGTAACGAAATAATGTATGACTCTGTATGTGAACTAATAAGATTTTTTTGATAAACAACTCCCAAGTTAAAAGGCAATTATTTTCTATTTTTTGCCAACAATTTCAACATTTGGTTGATTTTTTCACCTTACATATTTAACCGCAATCACCCTGTAACTAGGAAATAATTTTGGCTGCCCTCAAATAGTACAAGGGGTATATTTCTAATCCAACACAGTGTGTCAAATTATCTAATATACAGTATATCTCTGAAACATATCTACTTACGTCAGTATATTTTTTTTGTTTAAAATTCATATATTTGGTACTTATTAAGTTATATTTGGAAAACTAGTCATAGGATGTAATTTTACCAATAAGAATTTTCATCGAGTACTATACGATATCGAATATTGAGAAACTTTGACGGTGATATATTTTTTTTTTTCGGTATTTCTTTGACCAAAAAAGATCTGCCGAATCATTTTAATCACCCTGTAAGGGACAATATTTTAATTAAAGTAGTTAAGTATGTATTTTGACTATACAGAATGAACAAATAACTGCCAAATATATTTAAAGGTGATTTATGGTGTCCATTTTAAAGAATTAGGGATTTATAACTTCAACACCCTGTATCTCAAAATCTAGTCATAGGATACGATTGGGCCCATGGACACTTTTGATGGAGTAATTTAACGTATCAAAAATTCAGACATTTTGACGGTACTCCCGTTTGCATAAGAAAAGTGCGTGGTCCTTTTAATATTAATAATAACATCAATATTTAAATTACGAGTGATGTGAAATAATTTCAAAATAGATTTAAATTTAATTAAAAAACTTTTATTTTTATTTCAAAATTATAAAGCGTTTATTCACACTAAGTACCTGCCTTTTTTAATTGTAGCATATGATATGAGAAGCCCGCGGAAAAAAATATAGTAGGTTAGTTAAAAATAGAATTTTAAAACGTTTCTCCTAAAAATTATGTTTTTTTTGTCCGGTTGCAATCCCTAAAAGGCACAAAATAAGGCAGGGATTAAAGCAGAATCGAACTTTTTAACATTATTGACGAATATATTATTAATAGTTATACTTGGATACACAAATTTAAGAAAGAAATAAACATCGACTTACCGTATGCATACATTTAAGATAAACCATAGCAAACCGTATAACATAAATTCAAAACAGAAAGTTTTTTGAATGGCTTTCAAAAAACTTGGAATTCCACTTTTCAATTTAGCTTTATTCAGTTCATCGTTCCAATTCTTTTCCAATTTATTTGCCAACTTTTCTGATTTATCCTTGTCCAGTACTATGTATAGGTCTTTAAGTTCTAAGCATTGTTTTGCACCTTTTCTTACAGTTTGATACATCCATCTATATAGAATAAGTAAAATTTTCTTTAGACAGCACCCACCTTTTACTTTTTTATATTATAGATACTCACCCAAAAAATAATTTTATTATGCAGTTCACCCTTTTTTTGGGATTTTCCATTTTCAATTTGTAACCGATATCCATTATACACTTTAAGACGCATTTACAATATCATTAGTCTTTACCACTTCAAATAAAAGAACATCTTATCAATACTATTTAACACCATAGAAAGTTTAAACAAATACTTTCAGATTTGTATACACAACTTTGATAAAACTATTAATTTAATATTAATTGTGGCTATCATTGTAATTTTTAATTATATAGGGCAGTGGTCGCCAACCTCTCAATGTGTTGAGCTACTTTGTTAATTTTGGAATAAACAGCGAGCTACCCACACGGAAGCCACGTAACGCAACGTAAATGAAATAATCCACAGTTAAATTATCATTATATGCATTTATTTTACTATTTAACTGAAAATACATAAAACATAGGTACTAATAATAAACTAATAACAAAATAACTAATATTACTAGTACGTACTTGTTCATAGCTACATTCCTACCTACCAAACGAAGGTGTTTGAAAAATAAACACAAACTTTTATCCAGCAACAACGGCATGTCACGTAAGATTTAAAAATAGTTAATAATAACAACAAAAAAGTAACGCACTATCATGAACAAAAACATTGAAAAATAAAAAAGCACGTTCAATGAGAAGGCTGACACATCATTGATAATTTTTTTAATGTTTGCAGTATAATTTGATACAGCCATTCGAATACAATTATCCAAATGTTCATTTGTAAGTCGATTGCGATATTTGTTCTTAATAAACTTCATATTGGAAAAAGAAGATTCACACAAATAGGTTGAACTGAATAATGCTTTCACTTTCAAGGCAACATGGCATAGAACTGAATATTTGTCTTTACTTACAATAGACCAGATACATTTGGTACTTGAGACTAACGATTTTAAGGCTAAATCATTTTGAAACACAAGTTGCAAACTGTTGGATATCAATTTCCATAAAGGGTGAAACAACAAATTGCACTACTAAAGCCATTTCGTTGAAATCCTAAAAACTATTTTTAAAATTATTCTTCAGGGTAGAAACTATTTCTACATGATATTTGCTGTCATAGGGTTCTAATGGATTTTGAGATATTTTTTCTGAAAAAATAGGAAAATGCTTGGCATCGCTGTTAATTAGGTTTTGTTCCCAAAACTCCAGCTTTTTGATAAATGCTTTTATATCAGAAATCATTTCTGCTAGTTCTTTGTCTCTCCCCTGAAGCTGCAAATTAAGTTCGTTTAATTTCTCTGTAATGTCCACGAGAAAACCAAAATCTCTAAGCCAGATTGAATTTTCTAGTTCCGGAGTCGGTTCATCACGTTGTTTGAAAAATTGAACTATTCCAGATAGGACATCATTAAAACGTTTGAGCACCCGTCCTCTACTTAACCATCGGACTTCAGAGTGAAGGAGTAGGTCCCCGTATTGACAGTCAACTTCATCGGCCAAGGTTTTGAATAATCTTCTTTGTAACGCTTGAGCTCTAATCTTGTTCACAATTTTTACCACCAGTTTCATAACGTTGTTTAGTTTCAGGAAATTTCCACATAATGCTTGCTGATGGATAATGCAGTGGTAACAGATAAATTGCGGAAAAGTTTCATCTTTACGACATAACGCCACCAGACCCTTATCACAACCCACCATGGCTGGAGCGCCATCGGTTGTCAAGCCTACCATTTTCGATATTGGAATTTTCTCGGAAGAAATATTATTTTTTAAATGAGAAAACAACTCCTGTCCAGTAGTGTGTCCTTTCAGTGGAATAAACTTCAAAAGATCTTCTTTAATCGTAAAATCACTAAAAACCATCCTGACGAACACGGCCATCTGGGCAGTGTCAACGAGATCTGTTGATTCATCCAGTTAAAGTGAAAAATAAACAGAGTTATCTAAGTCAGTTCTTAACTGTAAAAAAATATCATTGCTCATTACTTCTACACGTCTCATCACTGTATTAGCAGAAAGTTGCATAGATTTTATAGCTAAAACTATCTCGTCTTTATTTCTAAAGTTGGCAAATAACGAATCAGCAGCTTCTAAAAACGCCTGTTTTATCATTTCCCCGTCTTCATAAGGTTTCTTTTTTTGTGCAATTATCTGGGACACACGGTACGATGCTTCAGTTGCAGACTTATTTTTGTCGACTGTTCTTAAAAATATTGATTGTTGTCCAATTAACTGCTTTTTTAACTGTTTCAGTTTCTCCTTTCTGGGGGCAAAATGTAGTGGGAATGATTTTTCAAAATTAGAATGTACAGTTTTATGATGTCTCTCAATATTTCCTTTTTTAGCAACGGAGACCGAAGTATTACATAACAAACACACATTTTTATCTTTAACTTCTGTAAAAAAGTATTGTTCTTCTCATTCCGAATAAAAGTGGTATGTTTTTACCTTCTTACAACTGCTTGCCATAATATTATTTTTTGTTGTTCTCTACTAACCCAACCGCTGGACGTTGGTTACGCGTTCAGTTTTAAACTAAGCGCAATGTCGCCGCGCCGTGCGTATTTATCCCGTCCAAAGCAATTCTGATCGTTCTCGAACACTAACACGCTTGTCCGGCTGGTCGGTTCTAGCCGATTCTAGCTTGATGGCGTCAGCGGCAGATCGCTCACCGCAACGTTGTCGCTGTTTATGTTTAATATTATGACAATTAGATTTTTTGTGGAATTTTCGGAAGCTTCTCTGATTTTTGCAGTTTGTATTTTTTAATTTAAAATCGTTGTGAGAGCTACCAGAATTGCCTCCGCGAGCTACCGGTAGCTCGCCATCGACAGGTTGGCGACCACTGATATAGGGACTATCATAAGATACATTTTTAACTGCGTATAGAAATCAATAAAATTAAAAACTACTTTTTTGAAATAAAACACTTACTTTAAAATTAATTCCAAAATGTATCAAATACGGTCTTGTATAACTGCATAAGTTTCGTCGAAAAATGTTGCTCAAATTCAACGTAAAAGGGTAAAAATTAAATTTTCCTACGACCACTTAAGAAAGAGGCACATATCGCACAATTTAGTTTTATGTGCTCTATAATACACGCTCTATAATACACGCGTGTGGATAAATCTACTTTCCACACGTGTGTGAATATGAATCTATTTTCCTTAAAAGCTGTCAAATTATTAAATGAATTTTAATAACTACCTATATTATTTTTGTTTTTTCCTGATTCACATACATATTTAATCAGATAAGTTTATTGACATAAACGTAATAGCGCAGATCGAATAGTGTCTAACTTTTTCAAAATTTCTAAAGGTTCGAGATATTGCGGTCGAGCGAGACGAGCCGCTACTGAAGATAAGACGATGTAAAAGGTATTTTTTAGCGAGTGTTTGGTTTAAAATATTTTCGACTGTTTTAAACCGTTTAAATTTTAGTGATGCAACTATGACGTCACTTACGAAATATTTTAAACCAAAGCTAAAATTTTTGAACCAGTTGGAGGCATATGGTTCAATAACGGTTGACACATAAGAGATTCTGATTTTGGCTGTTGTATGTTGTTTTGCTCTATTCCATCTTTGAACATTTTAATATATTTGACGTTTTGTTGATTTTTATTGATTTTTGATAACTTCATACATATATGTGATTCATATTCATACATTAATTGGTTATAATGTTATAATACAATTATTAATATTTATGGTCATCATAAACAGTTGGACGATGTGATCTACCTGTAGGTTACTCTTGATTATGAAACAATGTTGCAATTGAAATAAGGTTAAAGGATTACTTATCAGTTGTACGTTTTTTGCAAAAATAATTACGTAGTTTGCTTCAGATTCTGAATTTGCCAGCAAATATATAAAAGCAGTTGATGAACTTTGAAAAAGCCCAAAAAATCTACAGCAAATAATCGTTAGATAATCGCGTATCATAAATATATGATGCCATGTTAATTGACAAGAAAAATACCAAAAATAAAACAGTAAACAACATTTCAGATTGCAATGTATTAAAAATCCACCAATTTTTAATTAAAATCGCTATCAAACACTTATCTTCCTTCATCTGATTTAAAATAATCATTAAAAAAAAATCAATTCATTTTTTAAATCGACTTCGCTTCTCCTTTCTAGAACTTATTTCAACCGGTAATCCATCAAAAAATTATACGATCGAAATCAGTATTTAAAAGTTTGTCACATGACAGTTAGCAGGTTATATTTTTAAAAAAATCTATTTTTGCCATCTATTAATTCATGACGTCACTTTAAATATGGTTTAAAAAATATTTTAAACCAATGTGGTGGCTAAAAAACAGCTTTAGAGTGGTCGTCTTAAATTGAGAAAAAACATTTTACATATTTTACACCAAGCAAAAAATCATTTTGTATTATAGTATTATAGTATAAAATATTTTTATGTATGAGAGAGTAATAAAACAGCATTTCTAATGCAAAACTTACTACGGTCATTTTAAATATTTTTACAGAATAATCTAAATATTTCCCAAAATTGTAATAAATGTACCTGAGCTATTACAAGTTTTGGGTCTTTTATTGGTCCTTTCTAAACATAAGCTGTAAAGAGCAATAGAAAAAGGTTTGGACAGGCCAAAAGCCCTGTGTATTAAAGATTACATAGCCGTATCTTAAAATTATTTTCAATAAGTACCTATTTGTCAATTTTGTTTTATTTTAATTCCAAGAATTTCTTACAGTAATCGAATTATAAGTAGATAGATACCTTCCCAACAAATTTCACCGAAAATGCGATTATAGGTTTTCTATTTAATAAGGAGGCCCAAGTTGTGTATTCTTGACAGTTTACTAAATGTCGTTAGTTGCAACTTGCAAGGTGCAGTGTGAATTCTAGTGTGATCATGGAAAATTTGGAAGGGCCGCGTAAACGACAAAAAATCGGTCCTTTAACAGTTAATGAAAAAACATTAATATTTAATTGTTTTAAATCATTTACAGACAAACATTTATGAAAAAGTGTTGATGACACAGTGGAATTAGTTAGTAGTACGCTTGGTGTTGGGAAATCTACGATTTACAGAGTTGTTAAAGAAGAGAAATGTGGCGAGT